AATATTATTATTCTTGTTAGTTATTAGATCAAATAATGTTAATCAGTATTAATTTTATTATATGACATGTTAACTAACTCATATATTAGTTATCACTGTCATATATTTCAAGTCAAATTTAAGAATAACAATTTTTAAGTTAAATATGTTGAATTCCGTTTCACTCCTTTTTTTTCATTATTATAAATTATTCTTGATGATTCTTCAATCATTTTATTTTTTATTATATTTTCTCTCTCTTGATTTTAATACAATGATTAACTTTATTTTGTCTATTTTTATTATTATTATTATTAAAATAATGACTACATACAATTTTTGAAAAAAAAAAACAACTATATCTTTCTTTATTTGATTAAAAAACATAAAAAGAATATTATAATCTGATGAAAAAGACATAACTAAAATTTTCATAGGAAAGATTAATAATAGAATAATCCCTTGAAATTGCATTCCAAAGTAATGGGAGAGAAGAGAAAAACTTTAAAAAATGTTTGATTTGAGAATAGAACTTCAACACTGAATTATATAAACTCGGATCTAATATTTTAAACCAAATTTAAAAATAAGTATACGATCCAATGATCGAATAGTTCTACCAATTATTGTGAAACATGAGAAATAAGGAACAACGTATACCATTTTGATTAATAATATCAAAATCAAATCTTAAGTATACAAATATTTTAAATATTATTATTTGTAATAATTTTATTTTTTTAATAAAGAATTCATATAATTTAAAAATAAATAATTTTATTTCTTGACATGAAAATTTTGAATTTTCTGACACTAGAAAGTAAAAACGAAAACTGTCGATGTAATAGTTGCATCGCATGGATTCAATAGTCAAATACGGCGTTTCAAATAATCATAAAATATATTTTGGTGTATTCTATTACAAATTATTTTGCGTGCAAAATCAAGTGTCAAAACATTAAGTGCAAAATCAAGTGTCAAAACATTAAATGAAAGAGTGCTTGATATTTTGACAACTGAAATCATATAATCCTTTAAATAATTCACTTTTATTAATATAATAATCTATAAAATGATTTAATAAAAATAACCTTAAATAATTACTTTATTAATATAATAATCTATAAAATGATTTAATAAAAATAAAAAATAAAGTAAAACTATTATTATAATATTAAAAAAGAGTTGTTTAGAGGAGTTGTATGAATTTGAGTTGTCAAAGTATCATTTTCCTAAATGAAAATGACATAAAATGTTCTTTTAATCTTCTCCATGAATATTCAACCATAGATTGATTGCAATAATCGTGGAATTATTATCACTATTATTTTCGTTGAAGTTAATTTTACCAATATAATATCGATCATAACTATCATCATTATATAATATTTTGGTAATGGTGCATGTATCCAATTTTTTCTTGTGCCAAATTCACATTTTGACATTTTTTTTCCTTGTCGTTGAATGATTTTCTCATATTCATTATTTTCAATTTGATTCATTTTTCGTGAACGCAGAAGATGAGGGTCACCGTCCAACTTTCTCCAATGGTGGCCCCAGTATATTTTTTTCCTTTGGCTTTAATGTACTTTCGTGAATAATTTGTTCAGATCATGAATTATATTTATATTTATGTCAGATTTTGAAAATTTGTTATATTTTCATGTTCTTGTTTGGGCTAATTTTTTATTTTGAATTTTCTTGTAATGGGAGTTAAGTTTTTATATTTAGACTTTGAGTGAGAAAATGATATTATAATAATGTAACATATATTTTAGGTATATACTTTTTATCTTACAATGAAGAAGCATGGAAGATAATAAGAAGAAAGTAAGAAGATTCGAATTTTCCTTTTGGAAGTGATTGGTGTGTCTATCAATTGTTATAAAGAAAGAAACAAAAGCTGAATTATCACCAAATGATACCCACCCTGTTAAAGTTAAAATCCCAGTCACAGCCACATTAGAAATTTCGGTTGGGTTGCCATCAACATTTTTTTTAGGTTAAATTCTACACTTATTCATTAATTCAATATAATTTTACTTGAATTGGTATAATTATTATAATTCTTTCAACATAAATAGTTATATATCTCTTTAAAATAAAATAATGTTATTGCTTTGTGTCTTGTCTCACTCCATTCATAATTAAACTTTGAAAAGGCTAATATTTTATCTTGTGGTCTAATAGTTGGATTAGAAGTGAAATCATAAACAAGAAAAGCTTACAAATATATCATTCACATATATGCATGTCTTAATATTTCTAGTGCAATGTTTTAATTTAATAATAAAAATAAAATAGCAAACTACAATAATAAAAAATGCAACAGAACTAAACATTTCAATTATATTGGTTTTCTAATAAAAACAATTTTCACGCTAAATAATGCAATTTGCATGTGTTGAAGTGATTCACTTGCCACCAACAAATAATTTTTTTATATAATAAGTTAGAAACTATGATTAAGCTGTTGTATTCTATTTGTTCATGTATTTTTTTGGTTCTGAATAAGCAAAGTGATAACAATGTCTTTCTTAAACTCTGTTTCAGAACAACACACGGAAGAGTTTTGGTTACAAATACAAGAAACGCAGGAAAAAGAAAAAAATATTATTATTACAAATACTTTCTTATACGTAAAATAAATAAAAATAAAAATCATAGATGATGTCTTCGAACTGATCCAATATGAAAACATTTTAACTCTTCAGACATCTCTCAAACAATCTTAATATATGTTTGGTAACCCAAATTATGAATTCTATTAAAATAGTTGTGTAAACGATAACTTTCCACATATATATTATAAATCTTGATATTCAAGATTTATTTTCATTGTAAAGAAATTTGTAACTTTTAAAACTAATATTTAATTTTGGTATTTTAAATTAGAATAATTTTATCACAAAATCAAATACGTGTTATATGATTGATAATGATTCTGACGAAATGATTTTTACAATTTTTTATAATTTTTGAGTTCGTTGGTGATTTTTGAACGGGTTGAATTTTCTAAACAATTATATGTTTTGAAAGCAATACTTTCTAAAATGTGTTTCACGAGAGTAGTTGAAATAACAATTATGGAAGAAATTCGTCTGTTTCACATTGGAATGATTACTAATTAATCCAAACTACTAACTTATTGACCCTAATTACTGCAAACTCTCTGATATTCTTATTTTTTTCTCTGAGAATTCGTTAAATTTCTCACTAAAACTACCGTAAATATAAAATTTAAAGAAGAGGACATTGGAAAACGTTGTACCCAAACAAACGAGGCTGTTTAATTCAACCTATCACTGTTATTTCTGCAAATTGAAATGTATGGCAGTGGAAATGTGGCAAAGCAAGGGGAACTGTGATTTGTGACCACAACAAATGAATTCGTCATTTTGTGGTGCAGACCAATAAACTCCAGAAATATTCTCTCTCTTCTTTTATTTTCCACAAATATTCTTTTATTATTAGTAGACATACATTCCATGAAAACAGATAAGCATCGATGAGTAACTGTTTGAAGTTGTTGTGCCCAGCATAAATAGCAGAAAATGCAAAACTAAACACTCTCTTGAGTTCTGTCTGATTGCATAACATTGGTTGGTAGTTGTCACAAAAATCTCTTGCCCTTTGGCCATAATCAAAAGGCAAGACACTGCTCATCAAGCTACACAATCATCAAACCAACCTTGATTGTTTCCACTGCAAAATTTCAGCTGTTCTTATCTCCATACATTGGATTGAAGTATTTCTTCTCTCTCTTCTCTTTCCACGTTTTTTACTTTCAATTTTTTTTTCCATCTTCGTGCCTATCCTCTTCTCATATGAGCCTGAAGGTGTTGTATATATAGCATATTGCCTTTTGCAGCTTGTGTGGTACTTGAATTTTAACAACTTGATCTGCCTTTGCTATGTTATTTCATTATCAGCACCACTTTGGGTCATATACTGGTTACCTCAGTTGTCTTTTTCTGTTCATCTTTCCGGAATTATTTTAAAGTTCCTTTTTTTCCTCTGTTACTTCTGTCTTTTCATTCCTTTTTCTAAATCTTTTCATTCCTTTTTCTAAATCTCTTCATTCTTTTTCAAAGTAAAACTCTGGGGTTTTGGTTTTCAATTGAGGGCACACAAATAAAGAACTGATTGGAAATTTTCCATTTGTGTTGCTGGGTCTCTGAGATTTGAAGTTTTCTGGTGGGTGGGTGGATCCTAAATTCATGAATGCTCCCTTTTCTTCTACCAATTTGTTTTGTTTCCTAATGAATTAACTCTGTCTGGCTACGGTTTTTGGGTCTGTAGTGCTGGATAATTGATCTTTGTGTTGATTTGTGATATTTTTTTAACTTAGGACCTTCAGTTTTGCTTTTTGATCATTGATGGTTTCCTCACAAATCTTGTCTCCAAAGTTAGTGAGTTCAAAGAGGCGTGTGGTGTTAATTTTCCTGTTTGTTTCATCTTCAAGCTCAATTCTGGTTGTGGGTTTATGTTTTACTTGAAGACAGACTTCGAGGTTATTTCTCATCCCAACAATCGATCTCTTCTCTGCAACTAATATCCAGCATCAATCGGTTTTAAATTTCTCAAAGATCTCTCTAGTTTACTGCATTACCAGTGATAAGTGGGATCTCTGGGGATACATCTATGATTGATTATTCCTGTTATAATAGGCAGCTTTAGTTTTGAGGATGTATGCTGAAAATGATTTGAGGACTGTTTCCTAGTTTTATGCACTTTCATTTTACATTTTACACTTTACACTGTTAACCAATAAACCCCCATCATACTTTGTCATAGGTTCCAAATTTCCAATGTAAAATGTCTTTTACAATGTATACACTATCTAATTTTGTTTTAAACCATAAAAATAGCAGCATTTACGAAACAATTAACATACATCATGTAAGATTTGGATTAAGTTTCGTTTTTGTTCTATGGCTATAAAATTTTGTTAGGAACTAAATTCTGATATGCATTTCAGTTAGAATCCTTGTAAGTGCGCACAAGTTCAATTGTAAAGAATGAGTCAGCCTAAGATAAAGCGTCGAGTTGGTAAATATGAGGTGGGGAGGACAATTGGTGAAGGTACATTTGCAAAGGTAAAATTTGCAAGGAACTCTGAAACAGGAGAATCTGTGGCTCTCAAAATTCTTGACAAGGAGAAGGTGCTCAAGCACAAGATGGCTGAGCAGGTTGAATACCTGAGGAACTTCACTTGGGATCTTACTCTGTCCTTAATCTTATTACTTCATTAATTTTAGGAAACAAACAGTTTTATGACATAATAACATATGCAAAAACCTTTAATATGCTGAGAAAGTATAGTTTTTGCTGAACTATTTTTGGTGGCAGGTTATAGAATTCAGATGCTTCTTATCATAGTACTAGTATTTTATATTGGTAGATGCTTTAAAGAGTCGGACAAAATGACGTCAGTTTCTTAGATGTTTTTGATGTATTTTTGCAGATCCGGAGAGAGGTAGCTACGATGAAATTAATCAAGCATCCAAATGTTGTTCAACTGTATGAGGTCTCTCTCTCTCTCTTGGACCACACACATGCAATGATTAGCAATTCTATTTTTAAATAGTTTTTTCTTTATTTTATTCTTGCCTGATATTTTGCTATTTTTAGATGCAGCATATGGTAGTGGTTGAGTCTAGAACTTTATTGTCTGTTTCACTAAAAAAATTTGCCTAATGCCTACCATTCCAGAAAATGGTTGAAGTATCTTGGTAAATAATTAAAGTCATTGAATGATTTGAAAGTTTTTTTTTTTTCAATTAACAATAACCTATTCGACTAATTCTTATGTTTGAATGAGAAGAAAGAAAATATACATAACATTCTTTTCTTTAGTTGAAGCGAAAGTGGAATGTAAATGGAGAAAAAAGTAGATTTCTAGAAATATAAATTCAAGCTTTTTAGTTTTATATCTTGGATCAAATTTTAAACTTTTCTCTTCAGTCTCATTTTCTTCCCACCCTAGCGGACGAATGGTTGAATGCTGGAATCGTGATCATGAAACTGCTTCCTTTTATGCAAGACAGAAAAGAACTTTTCAAACCTCTGTTGCTACTGGGCTTGAGATATTCTTCTATCATGAATATGCAAAAAAAAAAAAAAAAAAAACGCGTTTGGAGTTAGAATTAGTGTGTTAAATACATTTCTCTTTCAATGCTATTTCATCTCTTTAATTCACCATTCTCAGTCTGTCTGATAATTTGCTGAGGGTGCTGATTTGTGTGATTATCATCAAGCATTTGTACTAGTTCATACTATCCAACTATACAGATATTGTTTTCTAAGGAAGTATATATGCAATTAGAAATCAAATTAATTCTCAACCAGTTTACTTTGTTGGCTAATTCTGTTTCTAATTTAAAAATTTTGTCGGCAGGTCATGGGAAGCAAGACAAAAATATATATTGTTTTGGAGTTTGTGACTGGTGGGGAGCTCTTTGACAAAATTGTGAGTAAATGAATATTGTTGGCTTCGTTTCATTGTCCATTTATCATACAATCTTTGTAGAGAAAAAAGGAACAAATGGTAAATCTTTAACATATATTTGCAGTCAACCTATCCTATTTAGTTTATGATACTAGATTAGTGATGGAACTCGAGAATATGACCCTAGTTCATTCAACATCACTATAATTTTATCATCATACTTCGGTGTTATTGTATATAGGATTGCCTTAGAACTAGATCATAGTAGATATCATGTTATCCATCTTTATATCATGGAAAAGGTGTTGTATATGTTCCAATGGACCTTTTGTTGTGAAGGTAAACCATGGACGGATGAGTGAAAATGAAGCACGTAGATATTTCCAACAGCTTATAAATGCTGTTGATTATTGCCACAGCAGGGGTGTCTACCACAGAGATCTGAAGGTAAGGCTCCTTTACCTCAAAATCACACACACACACACACACACACAAAGTTTGATATAATAAGAAATAACTTCTAACGGTTCATACTTATTCACATGCTTTCTGCAGCCAGAGAATTTGCTCTTAGATACTTATGGGAACCTTAAAGTTTCCGATTTTGGATTGAGTGCCCTCTCCCAGCAAGTTAGGGTAAAAATGAATTTCATTGCGTTCTGACTTTCGCTTTTGCTTGGTGATTATCTTTGTTCAGTAACTTGATCTTGCTTTTTGAAGTAAAACTATGTCCCAATTACTGAAGTGATGTTGAATATAAAATAATTAGAAATTATGAAGATGTGTGTGAGAAATGGGTAAATTGCTATGTTATTCAGGTGATAGTAAAATATATGTTTAACAATTGCTGAATGGAGATATATCAAACACAAAAAAATACAATTTCCGACAACCTTTTAACCTTTTTATTAGTGATAGGCCTTGATAATTTAGGGAGGGATGAATCAGAAGATTATGCGAATAGTTAGTTAAGATTAGAGAAAGCATAATAAGAGTATGGCATTATTGAAGTTGGAACAAACAAGAGCCAACAGCATCAAAAAATTATATTCAATCATTCACTCATCTCATTCATAAATATTTAAATCCTTTTAGTCAGTTATCTCGTGCCGGAGATTGTTTGATGCCTCTCCAAAATTACAGTAACCGTGTACAAGTTTGTGAATGGGAAAACTAAATTCTGCACATTTATAATAGAAAAGTAAACAATTTTGGACTTGCAACTTTTGAATTTAAGAAGAATAGACATGGCTATCAACTACCATTATTAAGTTTTATTTTAATTGATATGCCAAAATAGAGTTAGTTTTACTTTAATCAATGAACACTGTTCTCTCCCTTCCCAACTTGTCAATTGTCATAAAGTTGAACTTATTCTATAATGTTAATGAAAAGTTGACAGTTTTCATGCTTTTCAAGAGGTTTTATTTTTCTTTTTTTATCCTTTATAGGATGATGGGCTTCTCCATACTACATGTGGGACTCCAAATTATGTTGCTCCAGAGGTACAGACAAATGTCATGCTACATTCTTGAGTTGTATACCAAAATTCGTACATTTTTAGTCACTCTTCTAATTATTTTGTTATATGTAGGTCCTTAATGATAGAGGCTATGATGGAGCAACTGCAGACTTGTGGTCGTGTGGGGTGATTCTCTTTGTATTGGTTGCAGGTTACTTGCCTTTTGACGACCCTAATCTTATGAACCTGTATAAGAAAGTGAGCACCATTCAAACTTTATAGCACAATTTTAGTCTTCCTTTTTGTTTTCTCGCTATTACTTTTCATTTCTTGATCCACAGATCTCAGCTGCTGAATTTACTTGCCCCCCATGGCTTTCTTTCAGTGCCAGGAAATTGATTACAAGAATCTTGGATCCTGATCCCACAACTGTAAGAAGCAACATTTGAATTTGTGCTTCCTACTTGTCATGCAAAAGTGCATGTTTTTTCTTGAAAGTAAAAAGTGCAATTTTACGTAAACAACTTATAACTTTCTACACGTCCTTGGTGTCTTCCAATAATCAGTAAGGACCAAGTTTTTAAGCTGATATCATCTGCATCAGCTTGATTTCGTTATAAACAAATCAGTGCTTAGTAATAATTCTTCTAGAACCACTACATTTGGCTAGCACAACAAAATTGATAAAGTAAAGATCACCGATCCTCAATCTACAGTATTATGGTTATTTTTCCTGTAATAGTTAAATTTTGATCTTGATTTCTGATTTACCTGACTGTATGGCAGCGTATCACTATTCCTGAGATTTTGGATGATGAATGGTTTAAGAAAGATTATAAGCCTCCAGTTTTTGAGGAGAATGGAGAAACCAACCTCGATGATGTTGAAGCTGTCTTTAAAGATTCTGAAGTATGTTGAAGATTACTAGAAATGATTTTGGTATTGAATTTCTGATTTCTGGAATCTTCTCTCATAAAGGATTTTGCTTGCATATGCAGGAGCACCATGTGACAGAGAAGAAAGAAGAGCAGCCAACAGTAATGAATGCGTTTGAGTTAATTTCCATGTCCAAAGGGCTGAACCTTGAAAACTTGTTTGATACAGAGCAGGTTCACAGCTTTTCATGATAAGATACATTTTATATTACTTCATTATTGTGATGCACATGTAGAATTCAAATTCAGGGAAAACATGCAAGTTACAATAAATTTCACTAATAGACTAATTTTTTTTATAAAACCTAGTTATTTTTGTTGAAACTTCGCAGGGGTTCAAAAGGGAAACAAGATTCACATCTAAATCACCTGCAGATGAGATAATCAGCAAGATTGAGGAAGCTGCAAAGCCTCTTGGCTTTGACGTGCAGAAGAAAAATTTCAAGGCAAGACCTATTTTTTCATCTTACAATGAGCTCTACTACTCAGATAGCTTTATATGAAATGAAATGGTAGTTTGTGAAATTAATAACCATCACCTGCAGATGAGGCTTGCAAATGTGAAAGCTGGAAGGAAGGGAAACCTTAATGTTGCCACTGAGGTATATGATTGTTATTTGATGATGTGGAACACTATTTGTCACATTATTGCACTGAAACTAAAAGTACTCATCATAAACAGATATTTCAAGTGGCACCTTCTCTTCACATGGTTGAGGTACGGAAGGCAAAAGGAGATACATTGGAGTTCCACAAGGTATCCTTCTCCCCTTCTTTGCTTAATTGTTTTACATACTCTCTTCTTGCCACTTCAAAATTAACTGTTCTATAGTCAATTTTAATGATAATTAAAGAAGATTATTATATACTTTTAAAGTTCTCTACAAGGGAATGATACATCTGCAGTTGGATGGCAATAGGAGCATCAGAGTTATTCATTGCCAATATCAAATCTTGCATTTTTTTTTAATTTATACTTAATAAGAATTTGTTTCTGCCTATTTGTGTGGTACATGATTACATATTTGAAAAAAAAAAAAAAAAACTTGGACATGTTTCTTATATTTGTGTGGATATCTTTTCCAATCAATCATAGATAGCATAACCTCCATTAAAATATCTTCAGACTTCAGAAGAGGCACCAACTTGATGATATAGAATAGACACAGTTCTGCAACTGTTTTGGTGCTTATCTCCAATTAGAACTAGAGTTTTACTCAATGTTTATATTGACATTTTATATAGGGATTATCCACATGAAACTTTAATTCTGACCGGAGAGAAAATAGTATAAAAAACACCTATTAAATTGCATGACTTTTATCCACATCACATGAGAAATTTCACTTGTTTTTTTTTAATAACTTGGGAGAAAGGGATGTAGATTCTTCTCTTGTTCTTGAATCTAACTGTTGGAAAAGAGAATCTAACTGAAATTGTTTGGTTGACCCTCTGCAGTTCTACAAAAAGCTTTCAACAAGCCTGGATGATGTTGTTTGGAAAACAGAAGATGATATGCAAATGAGAGAAACAAAGTGATATTGATATTATTATTACTATTATCATCATATTATCAAGTGTAATTTTCTTCCTTTCTGACGTTCTACTATTTTCCAATTTCTTCATTCGTTATTTCCTCTAAGGTTCCTTCCTGTAGGTTTGTTTGGACATTACATAGTACTCATAATATATTTTGTACCATGCTATTATTTTTGGAAAGCATGCAAAGTTTATGTAAGAATTTTACTCATCAACACTTCCAGTTATGTTCATGAGGCAAAACTTGTAAGAAAATTTGTATATTGTATATACCTATCTATTTTTCTATCTTTCTTTCTTTTGCTGGCACTTTCTTTCTCATCTCTCCAGCAACATGGTAAGCTCACAAAACAAAAGATTGTTTGAGGGAAAGAGGGCAAAAGAAAAGATAGTATTTTTACAATTGAATTGATGTTTGGGAATACAATGAGATGATTTTTTTTTAAACGTAATCACTTTTTAATTCCACTCTCTTAGCCCAAATTGAAGCTTTGCCATCACCCGATTAATTTACAATCTTACTTAGTAAAAGTTATTTCAAGCAATTTACAAAGCAAAAACTACATCCAAAGTAAAATTGCAACGGACTCAATTAAAACTGAGTAAATACATTCACAAAGTTTATAATATCCAATTACTTAATTGTAGCATTTAAAATTTGAAAGATTAAATCTCACAAAACATCAAGAATAAAACTATAATGAAACAATTTTTTTAAGTATAATACAATGTAAATGAAAAAACACACACTGAAGAATCATTTTATGACCGTTGTCTGGTTTAGTGGGTATCAGCATCATGTAGCACAAGCAGTCACAATGGGAAAAACAAGAACAACGTGATGAATGTTAATGGTGGCCAAACGTCAGAGAAATTAGAATTATGAACTATTATTATTTTAGACAAATTAAGTATAGTAATCGTAATTAATTACCGAAATAATATTTTTCATTTGAAATAAAAGTGTAATTTATATATTGTCAAACCAATAAAAATATCATTGATACGATTATTTAACACAAAATAAGCTGCACAGATTTTAAATAAAATATTTATAATAGTTTATTGAACTGAAAACAGAACTGAGTCACTCTTCGATGATGTATTCTTGATGCTGTGTAGGTTTCTGTCTCTTGCACTCAGAGAGTGTTGTGTCTATGTCTCTTTTGTCTGTTTCTTGATGACGCTAACAGTGTCACTATTCTCTAAAATAAAAGCTGTTTTTTTTTTTTAAATTCCCCACATTTCTCACATTTTTTCAATTTTCACCATTATGAGTTTTTCTATTGGGTATTTAATTCATCTGAAAAATGTTACTTGAATCTACTTTACTTGCTTGTTAGGTGCAAAATGGTATCTTTTGGTGCTGAATATTGAAAGTGCTTTTATGTGTTCCCCGGAATTTCATTTTGTTTGGAATTGGGGTGTAACCAAGAAAAACCCAGACTAACTTTCCGTTTCTGCAATAATATTCACATTATGGAATGGTAAAGTCTAAAGTTTTTGTCTTGTGTTTTTGTTTTTGTTTTTTTCCTACATTTGGAATAATATCATTATTTTTGTGAGACTTTGGTTTCTTGGATTCTGTTCTCTATACCTCACTTAATTTGGCATTGATTGTTGATTAGATTCATATGATTTTGATTCTAGTTCAATGGGATTGTTGTAGGTGAAAACTTTTGTTCAGGGCTAAGAGCTTGTTTAGAAGATGGTTAGAAACATTGCTCTCCCTGTTTCATCATTGCCAACTAATATTTCTTCATATCTGAATACCCTACAAAGAAATTCTCCATGTTTCAAGCCTCTTCCAATTAGACACCAGACACACATCAACAGAACAAGAGCTACATCTGCCGATGCAGGTCATGGCCAATTTGCAGAAGCAAAAGATCCAGCTGCACCTTTGTTGAACATTCCGCACGCTGTTTGGAGGCAAACATTGAAGCCGTTAAGGGATTTTGGTTTCAGTGATAGGAACATCTGGGAAGGTGGGGTTGGACTGTTTTTAGTGTCTGGTACTGTCCTATTTGTTCTTAGTTTGGTCTGGTTGAGGGGCTTCCAAATAAGATCCAAATTCAGGAAGTACACAGTGGTGTTTCTGTTTGCTCAAGCTTGTGGCATAAGCAAAGGAACACCTGTGAGAATCAGAGGGGCCACTGTTGGCAATGTCATTGGTGTTAATCCTTCTTTGGAGACTATTGAAGCAATTGTTGAGGTTTCTTTCAATTGCAATATCTTATTACTCTAGTATCCCTGTATTAAAAGCTTGCTTGTGTTTGACATTATTTGATTAAGCTCTTGTATGGATGAATTTTTACATAAAGACGAAGAGAGAAAAAAGAAAGTAGAAAGAATTGAGTTTCTTCTATAAGTTAAAATGAACTTATATACCAAACTTTTGTACAAGTTCTTTCATCTAATTCTCCAAAAGTTGAAGAATAAGTTGACTTTCAACTCGCAGATTGGTGATGTTAAAACAATTATACCGCGGAATTCATTGATTGAGGTTAACCAGTCGGGTCTTCTGATGGAAACAAAAATTGACATCCCTCCTGGTGATCCAATTCCAACACCTTCTGTTGGTCCTCTTGACCAAGACTGTAGTAAGGAAGGTCTTATTGTGTGTGATCGTGAAAAGATCAATGGCCAGCAAGGAACAAGTTTGGATACATTGGTTCGGATATGCACCCGCCTAGGGAGTTCTTTAGAAGAAATCGGCATCATCAATAGCTATTCATTGGCTGAACGAGTACTTTCCATCATTGAAGAAGCAAAACCTCTTCTTACATAGGTGTGGTGCTCTTGGATCAAACAATTTTCTTGGCAACAGAAAAATTGATGAGTGGATGATGATGAATGAAATTTTAGTTTCTTCCATCTGCAGAAACATAAAATAATCGTGGTTATTAAGCATTTGTTGTATCTTTATGATATGTATTTATCATCATCCCTATGCAGTAGGTGTTTCTTTCTTTCTTTTTTGTTGTTCAATTATTCTGTCATGCATTCTCATGCCCATATTTTCACTTTGATGTAGTGATGCCTCAGATCAAAGCCATGGCTGAAGATGTTCATCCTTTGTTAGCTGAAGTCCGTGGTAGTGGCCTAATAAGAGAACTTGAGAATTTAACCCAAAACCTTACCCAAGCTTCTGATGATTTGAGGTTAATTGCCTAAACTTGTGTGATTCTTGTCTATCACCAATTTGTAATACATTGATGGGGTTGCATGCATCATTATACTCATTATGTTCAGATGCCATGTTTATCCAGAATTTGCTTTTGCCCATTATGATTGGACTGATTCCAAATTCATTGTAATATTTAATTTTACACTCGAAACATTATCCAAGTATGACTAACAGAAATCATGCTTTGTGCACGCAGAAGGGTACATGCATCCATTATGACCCCTGAGAACACTGAACTGATTCACAGGTCCATAAACACACTTAGTTTTACGCTGCAGAACATCGAGGTATGACCCTAATGTGCTATATTTAACTATTACGAATAGAACTTGCCTGCCTAATTATTTGATTTTGGCTCTATCACTACAGTATATTAGCAAAGATATTGTGGGTTTTACCGGGGACGAGACTACAAGCAAAAATTTGAAATTGCTTATCAGGAATCTCAGCAGGCTACTGTGAAATCAAATATGAAGATAGGAAGTAGAGAATTACAGTTAATGTTATTGTGAACAATGCTTACGTCAACTGCACCATTGAGTAGAAAAAAAATAGTTTTATCTATTTGAGTTGTTTCTTGGGATTTTTCTTTCATTCTGGTGTCATAAAAGTTGTCTTTCTTGTCTTAGTGAATGCAGGTTTTATTGACTTATGGAACTGATTTGTACGTGAATGACCTTGTTTTTCATGATATAGTTATCCACTCATCTGTGTTGCATGTACTGGTTTTAATGGTTGAAACTCTATGCCTTCAGAAAAAAATAAAGTTACTGGTCAGACTCAGCACATTCAAAGTGGTTCTAGTTGATGAAGCCTTCAGTTGAACGCAATCATCTCAATATAGAATAGGGTGATATTATATGAGGAGGTTATATGGACGGGTTGTACTTGTAAAGTTTTCTATAGCCATTGTGATTTCATACAATAAAATTTGTGTCCTCCTAGTCACCTTGAATTTGATCCTTTCAACAAAAATAAATTGATTGTTTTAAATTTCAGTAAAATATTAATTTTATTCAAATATTTATATTAATTACAGGTAAAAATAATATAATATGGTTATTTTAGTAAATTCTTTTAATCTGTGTAAACTTTAAACTTACTTTGCATTTCTTTGGGCATTGTAATCGACAACTACGTTTCCATTTTGACAGTTGAAACATCAGGGTTTTCAATATAATTTAAATGTTATTTTGCAGTAACTAAAAAAAGTACACAGTCCAAAATCACGAGCCATTTACTCTGGGATCCTCAGCAATGAGATCTACACTTGAACTGGAAACTTGTCCATCAACATTCATACGCTGGTTTCTCTGCAAAACCATCACTTCCTGGACTTGGGCTTAAAAATATTTGCCTTGTAGTATCTAAGTTCCTCGATGCTTTCTCTGATGTCATCCATGGCTCTGTGTCTGTTTACTTTTGAAGGTGCTTTCTTCTGATCTGCACAAATGATAAGGCCTTTTATAGTTTACAAGTTGGCATATCTGAGGTTCTTTCGCAGCTCTCATTGATTAATTAATAATTAGTCCACAACTCACGCTTGGAAAACAGGGAATGACATAATTATTATGATTAAAGTTGTCACGAATAATAAGTAATAAAAATCCCAGAAGGCAGGTATTACATTGTTTCTCATCTATCGAAATTGTGAAACTGATAACCATGTACTATTACAACTGGTGGCAAAGAACACAACTAAAACTAAGTAATTAGTTGCGATCAAATCGTACCCAAAAGCAAAAGGGATTGGTGGTAAGATTCCAAACTTCAAAGTTAAAACGTAAAAAAAAAAAACAAAAAAAATCTACGACCATTACATAATAATGTCTCTAAAGTCATTGCACTCCAAAACTAAAGGATTCTCCCTCTAACTATGGAATCTTTTTTCCCTTAGTTGAATTTTTTGGCTGGGGAGAGGGGTAGCAAGTTTTAAAGCATCCCTTCGGTTGGTAGTTTTATACAGTGAGGAATCTAAGACTCTAACTCAATAGTAAAAATTTACTTCGGTCAACAGGTTCAAATATATAAGATTAAGAGGAACAAAATAAAAACAATTCAGATACTTAATAATAATTTTAACAAAATCAGGAATGCACCTATAGACTCTCATGTGTGTGTGTGTGTGTGTGTATATATATATATATATATATATATATATATATATATATATATATATATATAAGTCCGTTTACGGATAACCACAGTTTTACGGTTGAGGGAAGGTCAGAATAAATGCATAGAACGGTAATAGTAATGTAAAATCTCTGATTCATGTGCAATTAAAATTGCCCAACAAATATGCCTTGCATAAAATGTAGGGAAAACAAAACTAAGAAGTCAAATCAGAATTTTGACACGGGGAACGGACAAATGGAGTTCACAATATTTTAGTTTGAAAGGGTAATATTTAATTCATAAACTTTTTATAGAAATGCGATGTTTTATCATATTCTTTACCAGTTCAACCAAATGGAGCTGACGTATATTACATGTATAAAACCCAAAAAATAGAAAAATCATGTTCACATAACTGATCCAGTAATGAAGTGATATGCACTGAAACTGGCCAACAATCTCAAGCCCAAACACTTCCTTATTGTATGGGGCTGATGGTGGTTGTGGGGCAGAGATTAACGGCTCAAGAAGCTATTGATAGTTCATAACAAATTCTAAAAACTTCAGCATGATTTAATGCACTAATACGAACTAAAATTCCAGTACATACAAACTGTGTAACTTCTCACCTTTGGGATACCAGCGAATGCAGAGAGCTTTAACACTACTAACATCAACAAGTACATGAGAGAATAGACTTGCCAACTTTGGCATGTATTTCTGCAATATATGATTTCAATAAGGCTTGATCAGGATATGCATATGGAGAGGAATTGTTAAAGAACATAGACATTATATATTCAGATGACAGAAAATTTCATGCGGCATCGCAACTTGATCTTTTACCAGATGTGCAAACTTCATAAATGCTATGATTCATTCCCTTGGCCAACATAATTAATTAACATGACTTGGCAAGCGTGATATATAAACAATGTCCAATAATAGTGTGGTAATTTACACCAGAAATTTAGATAAAGAATCCAATGCATGCAGAATACATCTGGCTATATAAAGAAAAACAACATTATGATAATTAGAATTTAGAAATTAATGATACTTCAGCAAAGCCACTATCTACAAGTCACAATGGCAGAACCAATACCTTCAGAAATTGAAAATCAACATATATAGAATTTCCTGCCAAGAGAGGTGTGTACGAATCAACGTTAATATATCTCTTAATAAATTCAATAACCTGCAGTTGCGAGATATAACAGATTTTCATCATAAAATAAAATAATAAACAAAACAAAGAAATTGAAAGAGATTCAACCATTGCACTACAATAAAGACAAAAAGTAGTACTTCAATTTGTCACAGAGAAGTGGCAATATACAGGAAAAAGGATATCAGTTTACAGACACTTCCAACACAACAAGCAAGGGCCTCCATGCAATACCCCCACATGACTGGAACTGATATCATTGGCTTGATGCAGGAATAGAATGCCACATGACGACTGGCTTTGTCTTCAACCAACTTATTGGTTTTGGGTTAGTTAGGATCCAATTGCAAGGTATGGGACTTGAATCCAACATTAAGCATGGGATTTATAGGGCATTGGGCTTTTCAGCTACAATAGCTAGCTGTTGTGGTGTGGTTCTCCCAAGGTTCTCAAATAGGCCATTCTGTAGAGAAAAGAATTATCTCTTGCTAATTTTGGCCCAAATTTGCCCTATGAGACTAGACATGTCATTGCATGGACAACACAACAAAAGAAACCATTTGTGCAATATTTATCATAAGCCTACAAGAACAGGAACAGCAGCGCTGCAATCCCTAATATATATTTAATTTCCTTCTGCACACTAAGACTCTGCAATCCCTAATAGAAAAATTTAATTAGTTCATCTGTCAATATGAAAAGGATAACATTTATTCAAGTTCATTGAATATGTATCAAAATACAGTAACCCTTCAGTATCATAGAAAGTAAGTTCCTACACAAAGAGAGCTTGCCACATGGTATAATTACTACAAACCTGCTTTTCAGCTTCTCCTTCACTAATTGTACTCTGTAGCACCCTTTTTGTTAATCCTAAATTCATTGAAAATGGTTAGTCAATGCCATTTAAAATCTGAGTCAACAGAATAATGTTAAGGAAAAGCAAACCTATCAGCAACTCATGAATAATACAGAACTACAGTCTCAAATTTCTTCACATTCAATAACGTATTGAATTATTTTTATCTGTTTTGAAGGATATCTTAGACTCCTCATGGCCATCTTTCCAATAATTTTTTTTTCTACGACTAAAATGTAAAGTATCAAAATATAGCATTCACCACTTACCACTAGCTGCATGATGATTCTGACACCATTCTCCCATCCTGTCAAGGCATTCCTTAGTTTGATGGATGACCAAATCGGGACCCTAAAATAGCAGATACTTTCTTTCATACATACACTGATGTACACAAACATACTGCATTACCTATTTAATTGTAATATATACACAAGATTTCACCAAATGAAAACTTTATTTCATCCTTTGCCAAAAAAGTGTAGGAGAAAGAAAAATGGTTATTTTGGCAGAGATGGTTTAAGGAATTCTGCTTCCATAGAATAGTGTTGGAATTCCTCTGTTAATTCCCAACAAATAGATCAAATAGCACATTCCCTCCTTTCAGTAAAAAGGACGGGAGCTAAGATCACAAGTTAAAATTTAAATTTTAATTAAAAGTGCACATCTACTTTACATATAAAAAAGAAAAGCAACAAAGGCGAACATTCATGTAAACAACAGAGACCAAAATGGCATATCCAAAAACAATGAAAAGAAAGCAAAGGTAGGGTAAGGATTATTTAATGCCCTAAACTCTATTAATACTTTGGTTCAACTAATTTTGAAGGAATCATCTTTTTATTACCCATTCCTTGGGAGAGCATTCTGAGAGAAAATGAATTATTTCCCTTGAAAAAGTTATACCAAAGATGTGCTTAGTATGATATGCAGGAAAGGAAAAAAAAATCTTTAAATAACTTCCAGCTTATAAGCAAGTTTTTCCCCATAGATAAACAGAGAGGAAGAAAAAAGAAAAGTAAAAGAAAATGTTATTAGCTAGTGTAGAAACTCGTTCAAAATACAGTGATGCATGGAAACAACAGCGAAACATAAACAAAAAGGAGCATGCAAATTTACAACATTGAATTATGTACCTCCACAGTTTTGGTTAAATATCCATCTGTAATTATACAAGCAATCTCCAATATTCTGTCCGCTTCAATATTTAATCCTGCACAAACACAGTTCATATGATGTTGTTGTTGTTATTGTAATTGTTATTATTATATTTATTATTATTATTAATAAATAAAATAATAATAATAATAATAATAACAATAATAAATAAAATCATCAGGCACTAAACTATTCAGATGTTATTAAAGCACAGACAATAACACAGTTTGTCACTAAACATATAGAGCCATCAAATACCACAACAATATATAGTCAAATGTAAGAGGCAAGTGCATTTTACAAGATAAAATCTACAAAATTGAGGAATGATATCACGCAGTGAAATTTAAGAAAAAACAAATCAGGAGGGTGCAAATGATGAAATCAAATAAGATTCAGATCATAGGCTGACAGTCATTCAAACAAAAAAGGACATGCTTTTAGAAGGTAAGAGGACTCCAGTTAATAAAACCAACAAAAGCGAATGTTACATGGATAGACTCAAAGTAAGTATACATTATTAAGGTTTGTCCATCCTCCATAGGCTCATTTGGAAGCATAAAAAGTGAGGGACTGCTATCTAGAGATTTTTTTTTTTTTTAAAGAAAATAATCCTTTGAAAGATAGATACCAAAAAAAAAATCATCTTCGGTATGCACACGTTTCCAATTGCTAGGTAGAAGGCTCACTTGAGTTAAGTTACTACAATTCTATTTTAGATTTACAGCCATGTTAAAAGGGAGCATCTTAACTAATCTATGAGAGGTGTTTATAAAGATTATGGCTACCATATAAAAAAGGCCTTTGTTGCTGAAAGATTTGGAGGTTTGTAAACAATCCGGATCAAACATTAAAAAAAAAACACAATGAGAAACACTGACTTAAATTACTTTTGCAATTGCACTCACAAACAGGTAAAATATTCTCCTTGTCATTCTACAAGCTTACCTGTCATTTCCAAGTCAATCCACACAAGAGGTAACTTGTATTCACATGAAGGAGTCACTGGAATTTCTTGATCTTGTTTCTTGTTTTTTACTGGTATAATGCTAATTTCATGATTAACTCCCCTGTCACTATTACCTGCACCATGACAGTATATAATAGCTGCTAGTTCATCACAAAGTAATCAACATAATGCTCCCACTAGCAAACATACAATCAAAAAATTTATGTAACCAGTAGTACATATAGATATGGAAAGCAACAAGATGATTAACGAAGATATAAGCATGAGGTAAGACCTCGTACCAATCTGACCTCCAAAGTAAACGTTAACAACAACAACCTTATCCCACCGAGAGAGGTTAGCTACATGAATGACATGGGTAGTTTGAGTCATGTTAGAGAGGTTAACAAAATGTATCATCTTGGTCCTTCAGCACAATCTAAATAGAGTTATCTAAACCACTTGATGGACCAAGAGTGGAACATTTCAAAATTTAACGGAACAAAAGTGGACACAAAATGTCAGGACTAAACTAAACTCTAGATATTTTAGAGAGGTAAAAAACATATGTTTCTCAATTTAAAATGTAAAACAAAAATTAAAAAAAGAAAAAGAAAAAAAAATCAGTTCTAACTTAAATGGTTTCTTCGTGCCCAATTCTTCATCTTCTCCAAACAACCATGACTCTGCTCCCAGGAACTCCCGCTTCTTCTCATGATGACTAAAATCCCAAATCTGCTTATTACAAGGAACTCGTGTCAGAAGTTGTGGTTGGCACCACAGAAAGCATGGCTTGGGTCTTTCTCATGGAGGCACACCCACAGCATCTCCATCCAGGTCTCCTTCCCTTCTTACCTCTTACTCGTTCAATACTGTGGACTCTCTAGTTTAGATTGAAGATCCAGAAACATTTTGAATTGATGCTAACAAATCTAATGGCAAGAATCCTGAAACTACTATCGAATCATTTAATTATAAAAAACAAAGAATCCTCCATGATTTTCAACATTCAATTGTTTTTCATCATTTGCAGTTGAACATGTATCTTTAATTGCCTGAAATACATGAAATGGACAAACTCCCTTCTCAAGTTTTAAATATTTAATGTGTTGTAATGCTGTTGTAGCAGCACTCTAGTCAAAAAATGAAGACACCATAAATTAGCACTGAATCTTAGTTATTTCATTTTATATTTAAAAATCTTACTCCAACATTGAAACAGTGCACTGAACAGCCAACATGCAGGATATGAAAACACTTCACTATAAAATGCATGCAAAAAATTGAAAAAGAAATAATTTCCATAAATTCGCCAGCAACAACAGTTTTCAAAGGACACTGAACCCTCTCGGAAATGCGCAGATCAGTAAGAAGAACAACTGTGAAACCCTAACCCAAAGTTCATCAACTACGCTTCAAAATGAAAAAATAAATAAACTAAAATCTGGAAATTGAATGGAAGAGAGAAGATAGAAAGCGTACCCGCAGTGGTGGGAACGTGGTTATCGTCGGCGTCGAGTTCTAACACTGAAAACGAATTTGCGAGTTTCTCCATTTTTTTCTTTCTTTCTGTGCTTCAAACTCTTCAATTTGGCGCTGTTCGAAATAAATAATTCAACAAAGAAATGGGAAAAAATTAAAAACTTACGAAGTTGATATAATATTTGTACGTAACGTAATCCATAAAAAAACATATCTAATAGCAATAAATAAAAATCTAGTCATAATTACAAATCTCTCCAATATTCTTTCACACTTCAAGTTGTTTTGGTAATTAGCTAAAAATAGATAGTTTCTGCCCTTAAAATTCATATTGATTTTAGTATAAAATTACTCGCTCAAAATATATATATATATATATATATATATATATATATATATAATAAATATTCTTTATTTTAATAAAAAATTTATAAACTTTTCGATTTTATTCTTTTCATTTCTAATAATATATATTAAAAAATAAGTAAAAAGTAATAATATAATAATTAATATTATTTAAAATTTTAAAAATAAAATATATACTTCATATATTAATTTTTTTATCTTTATTAATAAAAAAGTGATATTTTGACAACCTTATTTTAAAAAAAAAAACTATCATTTAACATCTCATTTATAACAATTTAATAAGTTTTTTTACCTAAAACATATTTAATAAAAGTAATTTGTATGAGTTATTTTCTATTTAAAAATATAACTTTTTGTGTCATTTTATATTTAAATAATTTATAATTAATTTTATTTTAATATATTTTTTAATTTTTAAATAACTCATTATCTTTATTTATTTATTTATTCTTATTCATTCTCTATTTTATAAAATAATTAATAAATTTTTTAAAACAAATTATTTATGTTATTTTTTATTTTTTTAATATAATTTTTTTTACATAACTAATATTGTACTTAAATATTTTAAAAAACCATCCTCATTGAAAATGCTTTTAATATATCTTGTAAAATACAAATTTGTTATATGATATTATTCTTAAGTAGTTTATAGAAAAACTTATTTAAGAAATTTAAAAAAAATATTATTTTTTTATTATTATCTTATTACTTATTGATTTTTTATTTATATTGATAAGTTACTTATGAAATAATTAATAAAAATAAAAGCCACTGGTTATAGTCCTTCATATTTTTCTAAAATTTATTTTAAACGATCAATACTTTAAGTATTTCAATTAAATTATGTTATTAATAACTTACTTAGTTATTATTTTCTTGTTGAATTATTTAAAAGTTGAGTTGTAAAAGGAAGACATGTAATTAAAAAATAAATAAACAACATATATTTACAAAAGTTTTAAAAGCTAATTCTTGAAAGTTAAATCATTTATTATAATAATATTATTACCTAGAATTACTTAAAAATAAAAATAAAAATTTTATTATTAATCTTATTTCTGAATTAGATAAAAATTAAAAAAGTTATTTAAAATTAGAAGAAAATTATTTTTATAAATATTTTTGATGAAATTTTAAATTATTGAACGGTAAGACTCTTAAATAATTATTGTTAAAAATTATTTTACGAAGATTTTTTTTCAATGAGAAAGACATCCAAATATTAAAATACTAATATACTTTTATTATTTTTTTTATAAGTATAACTTTTTCTCTTTTCATAATAAAATTAACTTTTTTTTATTATTTGAACAATTTTAAAATTGAATTAAATCAATATTATATTATCACACGTTAATCAAGTCAGTTTATTTATTTATTTATTTATTTTGGCATAAAAAGGTTGATGCTAGTCCAAAAGAAGTTCAGACCAACTTTGCATGGAGGAAAAAAGTGTTGAAATTTGCATGATATAATCTTGTCGATTTTTTTTTATTTTTTTACTTTTATAATGGAGATGGCTCCAAAAACTGAAGCTGACCTTTCTCTTGATAAAGACGAAGAAATTATAGAGGAGAATGCAGCACCACAACAGTTAAGATGATTTTCACACCATTTTATCTCAGAAAAAACAGTTCTTGAATAGATTCATCTTTCATCTCTATCTTACTGCTACTGTTTATTTTTCTTCTGTTTTTCATACATTGTAATCTTGCAGCTCATCGTTGAATCTTTTGATCCCTTTTTCATTTTTATTTTCCTTTTCTGATCCTTCTTGTTTATCTGTTTCACCACTGCTTCAAGCTCTGTACCCTGCCATTCTCCCAATGAACACCAAAAGATTGTACATGATGATGCAGAATCGAGGTGAAGATTTTAACATCGATCGCTGATATACAGTAAAAATATTGTTCGAAGACACTGAAATCATACACAAATTGTGTAAACTGTTTTCTAAAACCGTTATTTTCTACAAATAACTGTCCCTAACTCAGTTTCCATGATAATAGTTCTTCAGTCAATTCATGTCATTCTCTACACCCTTTTTTTTATCCTTACTCTTGTTCTTCTTTCTCTTTTTACCAGTACTTCGACGCCTATATCCGGCCATTCTACCAATAAACGGGAAGAGATTGCGCATGATGATGCAGCAACGAGGTGATGATTTTCAACATCGATGATATATGTAAATAGTTAAAAAAATGTTCGAGACTGAAATCATACACAAATGATGTTGTTGATCTTTGACCCTTTAAGTTCTTCAATCAATTCATGTCATTCTCTTTGCCCTTTTCACTGCTGCATCATTACTCTCTGTGTTTTGCATTCATTTTAATCTTGCTGGTGATTAATATTTGGTGTTATTGATCTTCGATTGACCGACCCTTTTTTAGTTTTTCCATCTCACAAAATGCTTCAATGGCAATGAGTGGAGTCGATCATTTTCCCAATAAACCCAGAAGGATTGCAGAGGAGGATGCACCAGCACCATGGTGATTTTTCAACATCACTGATATGAATAAAAATAAAATAACGTTCAACACTGAAATCATGCACAATACAACAAAAATGGTAACTGTTTTTCAAGACGGTTATTTTCTGCACAGAAATTGTTCCTAACTCAACTGTCTTTAAAAGTAACTCATGCAAATAGTTCTCAATGTGTTCATGTCAACCTTTTCATTACTCCATTATAGGCTACCTAAGTTATTGATCTTTGACCCTTATATGTACCTTCACATTTTTATTTTATTTTTTCATGAAGGATCTCCCACGAACAACCACTGGATCCATTTAAAGATTTATATAATCGATCTCCAAGTCGTAACGAATACTTGGAGCATGCAATGTTTCTGAAAAGAACAAAGATTGAAGAACAGCAGATCCCAGACGTTCCTCTTCCTCATTATGAAGAAGAACCTCCAAGTAGCTTCGGGGGATTGGAAGAAATTGTGGAGTCAGCAAAGCTAATTCAGTTGCCTTTAAAAGTAACTCATGCAAATAGGTCCCAATCTGTTCATGTCATTTTCTTCATCTTTTTCATGCTCCATTATATGCTACCTGAGTTATTGATCTTTGACCCTATTACATGTCCCTTCACATCTTTTTTCCACGAAGGATCTCCCAAGAACAATCACTGGATCCATTTGAAGATGTATATAATCGATCTCCAAGTCGTAATGAATATTTGGAACATGCAATGTTTCTGAAAAAACCAAAGATTGAAAAACCGCAGATTCCAGATGTTCCTCTTCCTCCTTATGAACAAGAACCTCCACGTAGCTTCGGGGGTTTGGAAGAAATTGTGGAGTCAGCAAAGCTAAAACAGTTTCCTTTAAAAGTAACTCATGCAAATAGGTCTCAATGTGTTCATGTCATTCTCTTCATCCTTTTCATTACTCCATTATATGTTATTAATCTTTGACCCTTACATGTTCCTTCACATCTTTTTTCCATGAAGGGTCTCCCAACAATCACTGGATCCACTTAAAGATGTATATAATCGATCTCCAAGTCGTAATGAATACTTGGAACATGCAATGTTTCTGAAAAAACTAAATATTGAAGAACAGCAGATGCCAGATGTTCCTCTTCCTCCTAATGAAGAAGAACCTCCACGTAGCTTCGGAGGTTTGGAAGAAATTGTGGAGTCAGCAAAGCGAATCCACGGGAGAAAAGATTAAATGTGAATATTAATTCTGCTTTTGTTGTGACTAATCACTCTTTTCAACATTGTTTTTACTGCAGATGGAAAAGAAGGTATATTGTTTATGTAAAAATTTCTTAATGGGATTTAAAATAATCTCTATAGTCGATTTAATTAGAATGCAATTATAGTATAACTATAAATCTTATATCAGTCTAATTTAACATATATAGATTGAGTGATTGTATGCAATTTGAGGGGGAAAAAATGGATAATCTAAAAATAATTTTAATTTCAAAACATTACATATCTATATTTCCACACACTATTTTTGTTTCAACTTCTCAACATATGTCCTAAAAACCTGTTAACTAAATCTATTTCAATACAGAATCAATGAGATAATGTTAGATCAATGCATAAAATAACCACTATTAATATATAATCATTTTTCTTCTCATTTTCTTTTACTATTTTTCTTCCACTAAAATAAAACTTTATTAAATTCGACCAACAAGATAATCTAAGTAAATTTGTAATCGATATATTAAAGTAAGATTTAAAATTCGAATAATGTAATAATTAGAGGTAGGTTTGGTATTTGTTGCACATAATTGAGAAGTAGATTGAATGATTATGTTTGAATTAAGGAATTAAGTACCACAAAAAAAAGAGAAGCCCTCATTCGTTGGCCTATGTAAGAGCATATAAATACCATATTCCTCTTCTCTCGTTCACCACATCACATACACAGCACACAGATCCATCGTTTAATCTCTTCTTCTTCTTCTCAATCCAATGGCCGATCAACTCACCGACGAGCAGATCTCCGAGTTCAAGGAAGCCTTCAGCCTCTTCGACAAGGATGGCGATGGTCTCTTTTCTCAGATCCCTTTTCCTCTCTCTTAGATTAGATCTCATTCAATCTCTCTTTTTTCTTCTTACCCTTTTAATTCTTTTGTTAAATTTCTAATCTTTTTCCCTTTGCGTTGCTTCTGCTTTCAGTTTTCGCTTATCGATTTATGTGGGTGTGAGAATAAATTGGATTTGCATTCTTGCTGAAATTTCCCCCCTTTTTTTCTCGTTTTGCCCTTTGCTAATATTGCATCTGATGTGATTGTTTTTGGTGTTCTGCGATGTTGGGGTTGGTTGGCATGAATGTTTTCAGCCGTGGGTATGGCTTGAGATTTGGTTTCTGGGTGTTTGATTTCTCCGTCGGAATTACTTGTATGTGACATTTGGTGCTGCATTTTTGGATTTGTAAATAACACAACCTAGGATGGAAAAAAAAATGTGAACATCCACCCCCATTTTAGGTGGATTTTAGGAAAGTAGAAAATATAGAGAGGGAAAGTAATTGATTTGATGAGTGATCTATCAGGAAAAATAGATAATGTGAGAACTTATGTTTATAATTGTTCATGTGGAATTGACCCTTCTTTTCATTTTTTGAGTTCATTTTGGTCCCTTTTATTTCATTTTGAAGATGTATCCGAGAATCAAATAACAATTGCATGGTACGTGTATCTCTCCGATCACAATTGAAAATTGGGTTTATGATTGATTTAGTGTTGATGCTCTTCTTGATTAGCATTGTTGAGTTGTGTGTGTTGTGGTTATAATGAATGGAAGGAATTCTCTTACCACATAGCACCTGTTTTGTGAGTCTTGTATGGTTATAGATTGTACATACAGATTAAATTAACCTGGGAGCTTATGATCAACACCTTCCAAGTGCACATTCTTGCTACGAGTACTGATGTGCGTTTGAAAATTTTGAACAAAACTGGGGATTGTAATTTGAGAAGAAAGGCAAAATTTTAGATCTATTGTTCATCGTATAGCATGTTTGGTTGCACATTGTTGCTGTGTTTTTCCATGCAGAAAGCTAATTGTTATGCTTTGGGGCTAAATTGACGAGATTTTTCGCTTTCTGATGAGTTTCTGAACATGCACTTAATTGTTTAGCAAATTGTATCTTGCATTTTCTCGCGAGGCTGAATCTCTTGTTTATGTTGAACTTTTCTTCTTTTGTTTAAATGATACAGGTTGTATTACCACCAAGGAACTTGGAACTGTGATGCGGTCACTTGGGCAGAACCCAACCGAGGCTGAGCTGCAGGACATGATAAATGAGGTTGATGCTGATGGGAATGGTACCATTGATTTCCCTGAATTCCTGAACCTCATGGCACGCAAGATGAAAGACACCGATTCGGAGGAGGAGCTGAAGGAGGCATTCCGCGTGTTCGACAAGGACCAGAATGGTTTCATCTCCGCTGCAGAACTCCGCCATGTGATGACCAATCTGGGCGAGAAGCTGACGGACGAGGAGGTTGATGAGATGATTCGCGAGGCAGACGTTGACGGAGACGGGCAGATCAACTATGAGGAGTTTGTCAAAGTCATGATGGCCAAGTGAGGACCAACCAACCATAACAAAAAATTTGAAAAGCACATGAACAGAAAAAGGACAGGGCAGATAAGTTTTGATGAGAATTCTATTTTCATTAGGACAATCTTCATTTGGGGTCATTAGTTTTTGTTGGTCGGGTTTGTTTGCTTTTATTTAATTGGTATTGCTCATTAGTATTTCTACTTCTACTTGTGTGCTCTGTCCCTTATTTTAGTAGCTTGGTTTAGCTGTGTCTCACCATGCATTTGTACTTCACTTTTCATCCTTTTTGGGTTACTACTATGAACCTCGAACAATTGGTTGCAATTTGTGCTTTTTACATGTGAGTGACTTATACTGTTAATACCATCTCTATGCCATATGATTGTCTCTGTGATCATTCTGCATTTCTCGACTTCACTCCAGCAAAGCTAGTGAAGAAAGTGTTTTTTTATTTCTCCTGTGAAAAATATCATCTTGATTAGATGAGATCTCTAAATGCAAACGTCAAACTAAACGTTAAAGTAGAATGAATATACACACGTTTTGGTAGGTCTAAGTTTTTCCAAAGTCTAGGGAAGGGAACTGTGTAACGTTCTTTGGAACCAAAGAAATGAGAAAAATCTTGCGTAATGTTTCTATATTATAACAGAATTGAATTGAAGGTCACCCAAGGCAAAAGGGTTTACTTAAAAACAATAATACATATAAGAAAATGGAAGATTATTACATTATTTATTGTTAGATTAAATGGTTGTTCGTGGGACATTGATGCCGCGCAGTTCAACCTGAGGAGGAAAGATTTTCCCTTACTGATGGCAAGAGATTATTAATTTATTTCAGAATGAAGAATTGTCCTAGCGGAAGAAAATCCAAACCCAAATCCAAACCCAAATTGGTTGGGAAAGCACAAGCAAAGTCAAAATCCTTGCGCCAAATGTTAACCTGTGGCGGGAGCTGCTTTTGAAGACACACACCATGCTCTACAAGACTCAATCTTGGAAAAGGATTGGTTTGGTTCACACCTTCGGTACAGACTGAGAGAAATACGAGATGAATATCAAACGTTATGTGATGTGTTAAAAAAACAAAAAAGAGATACTACAGTTTGAGTGATTAATGAATCACCATCATCACTCACTCACATATATATCGGCTTCCCAGAACTCATCTGGGCATAAATGACTCATTGTTAGTGTTTGTTTCAATCCTCCAATTTTGGAACATTTCATAAGTCATGACAGCATCCTTAAAAAAATACAAGGAATGTGTTGAGTACATGGTATTGTACTATTTACCTCCTCCCATCATAAATAGTACCATGATGTACCTTTCACTACCATCAAACCATATATTGTGGCATCTTCATTTTTCTGCTCTTTTCTATTTTATTTTCATCATAAATATATGTCTCATTTACTCAACGCTGCTAAAAGAACGTCAATTTATAAAATGAAGAGTAAAGATAAAAAGGGTTCACCAAAATTATACGTAGAATTAATTTTCAGAGACTCGCAAGAGAACAAAAGTTAGAGGTATTGAAGTAATTTTACATAACTTTTCCATTGAAAATATTTACAGAGAAGAAATTTATTCACTCCCAAAAATTAAAATTACAAACTTATATTTTATACATTTACTTATTTTTAAAGACTTATTTTTTATCTTCATATATCTTTATAATCATTATATTATAAAGAATAAGTCCCTAAATGTCTTTTTTTCTCCTCTCTATCTACGTATTTGTTTATCTGAATATAAATAACTTCAAATACTATATAAATTGTTGTATATCGTGTGTCATTCAGTGGAACCACATGAGATACATAAAAAAAAAAAGTTGACATTCGTTCGTGTGTCATCATTCTTAACGGAAAAAAATAAAAAATCTTGTAATAACAGTGCAAATTTTCTACTCTTTACATTTTATATATATTTTTTTATAATTGATTAAAATTATAAATGATATTCATTAAATGATTAATGAGGTCTAGTAATAAATTTTAAAATTATAATAAATGATTTTCAAGATACTTTGTTAAATATTAGTTGCTAACATTTCTCCTCTTTGGTTACATGGTTACTTGCTGCCTAAATCACTGTTATTAAGGCCATAGATTTTGCTTTTCAATGCTTTTTATTTTTATTTTTTCTCGGAGGACGTTGTTAAAGTTGACCCGTAGTTTTTCTATTCTAAAAAATCGAATTGAAAGGGGTAAGATGCAGCTACAAAGAATAAAGGGACATTACCAGAATATTGATTGGGTAAGATTTTTTTTTTTTTCTTGTGGGAGTGGGGAGGTATACTTTTGATTTTATAATTTTGAAAGACGAGTTAAAGATGTTGATGAAATTTTGAAAATGTAGCCTTTAAAATACTAAAAGCAACAATATCATGTTAAAAAAATTGAAAGTTGGAAATATTATTGGGAGACACATTCGTAGGTTTTTCTTTTTAATAGTTAAGAGGTTCAAAATTTTATAATTTCGTTTACATCATCATATGCATATGTTCGCTAAGAAGCTTGCTCTGATTGGGAGCTACGTGTCCAATAATTGGAGATCTCCGTGCAACATATTTATAGAGAGGGGAAAACATGTGTGAATCTGTTGGTGTTTGGTAAGTTGTCAGGTATTTTGAGTGTTTATCTCCAACATTATTCCATGGGATTTGTTTCCCTTGGGTTTTTTCTTTTTTCTGTTTTTTATTGTCTTTTGTTTCTTTTTCTTTCTTGTGAAAGGAAAGCTCCATTCGTACTAGGAAAATTAAAGTATAAATCGTATTTATCTCTCAAATTGAAAATGAGAGAAGAATAAAATGTAATTTAAACATGCCAAATAAGAACAGCTAATTTACTCTATGAGAACTATAAATTTATAAAATTACTGACTTTTATTACAAGTAGAATTTTAATGAGATACAATATATTTAGGGAATACAGAAGCAAATTGTCCAATGTGTTTTTTAAATTAAAGATAAAATAAAAAAATGTTTTTGTTTCCCCCAATGAAAGCGTGAATGCCTATCATGAGAAACCAATTCTTTAAATAACTTATCAGTTAATGTAGATAATATGTTTGATTTCCAAAAAAAAATGCGGAATATTATGAAGAGTTTAATAGATATACCCTCAAACTGTGACAATCAATCAAAATCTACATTTCATATGAATTTTAAGATAATTTTACTTTATAATAGCGTAATAATTGGTGATTGAATAAGAGTGTGAAAATATTAAATCACTAATGCACATTTTTTTTTTATTCTTTTAAATAAGGATGACTAAAATATATTAGACACATTCATCCATAATCATGCATTTGAGCGGCCAGTCAAAAGTATCGTCAACCATTTAAGATCTCTCTACCTATTGCTGTAGTTGCCACAGGCTTTCGACCCCAGAGAGAGTATCGGCAACATCATGTTTCATAACAGAAACGGAATTTCTGACTTAAACTACCTGTATTTTGACCTCTTACCCTATCTTTAGTTTCTTTTTTAAAAAATACTTCAAAAATAGAAATTTGCTTTAAAGAATAAGAGTGAGAAAAAAAATACGAAAATTCAACGACAGTAAGAAACTGAACAAATACAGAGCACTTCAATAACTATTCTTATCAAACAACATTTTACCTTTTTTAACGATAATAATTTTTAAACAAGGAGTTTCCAACAAATTTTTGCTTTAATTTTAACACGAAGCATTTTTAACCCAGAAGCCCAAACAATATTTTTGCTTTGTTTTTAACCATAATAATTTTTAATTAGTATATTGATTCCAAAATTAAATTTAAAGTCAAATAATTCCTATGATACTCGAGTTCAATTTTCATGAAAACAATTTTTCATCACAGCAAACCATATTAGCCTTAAACAAAAACTTGGAACACTGAGTCATTTCCATGGGAAAAAAAAACTTATTTATAATTTTTTTTTCCTTTTAAGATTCTTTTCTTCAACCAAATAAGAATGCTTCATTATCCACTTTTTTTCTTCCGATTTTCTTTCCTTTTAACAAAACATTACAATCAATTTAGAACTATTCCTGTTTGTGTTTGACTACAATGCAAACGAAAATTTAGAGCAAGACGCTCTTAAAAAACTAACCATACATACAATCTATTAAACGAGGCCGGTCTTTCTAAACATAACATGCACTAAACTAGACCAAAATTTCAGCTCTTTTTTGCTTGTGTACCAATAGTTCGATATTATAATGCAGAAAACATGACCGGCACCCCCTTACCGACTTCAGTAGCTCTTTACTAACATCATATTTAAATGCACACCCTAGTGATATTTCGATAATTCTAGAAGGTAAACAAAGTGATTGAAAAAACAAAAGGCAACATTTATCAACTCGAACAGAAGTCTCGAGCATATCTATATACCGCCCTGTCAGGAGTATTATTTAAATTTTTCATCTTTACAGACTGAGGCTACCAAAAAAACAAAAAGGTTTATATAATTGACAAGCGTCACATATTTACCTCTTGAGTGGTTTGTAAAGGACAACTGTCACATATTTGGACTGGAATCTGTGAGTCAGTCCCAGGGCAACAACAGACTTTGAGGCCAAATTTTTCTCTATGAAGACGTGATTTAGCACAACATGTTGGGGCTTTGAAGAGGAACCTACGTCAGAGTTTTCCATACCTAAGACAGTAAGATGCAGTTGCGAAGGAACAGACATTGGCTCTTTCGCAAAGTCCTCCTCAGATGGAAATGCCTGACCATAACTGGATTCGGGGGAGGGTGGCGCTTCAAACTCAGACACACCATCGGGGTTTTCTGGCACATAATCCTGCAGAAAAAAAAAAATAACATTTAAATCCGTTTCTGGAAGAGAATTCCCTAAATGGAATGATGATATATTAAATATCCCTGTAATCAGTTGAATTTTCTTGCCATATTGATAGTCAAGTAAAATTCAAAGTCACGCAGAGCAAAATCATGAAACAATTTGCAATATTTTATGACTCTATTTCCATTCAAAACTCCTACTAATGCCCAACCATAATAAAAGCACAAAATCCTATGAAAACTGGCTTTACAAAACTAGTAAGTTGTTTCCATGAATCAATACAGTGCATAAACCAGTGTTTCCCCTGCCTATGTTCAACCTTTATCTCCACGTATGGCACGCAGACATGACAAAATAATATAGGATGTGGCAGTTTTCCTTGCCCCACCTACACCTAGGCTACATGTCCTCCCCACCTTCCTCGCCTAACATAAAACAAGAAGGGGACAAGGAAAAAACTTTGGCATCGTTTTAAAGCCAAGTTCATCTTAAAACCCAACGGAAGCATTCACCTTACACAGAAGAAAAAAAAAACTTAAATGCAGGCATATAATTAAATACACAGTAGAATAAAGAGAGAAACAAATAGAACGATGCATACATTAACATCAAGAAGATTGCAGACATGTCCCATCTCATCAGCTATATTAGGAAGGTCTGGAATAAATCTCTCTTCAGCATCAACAATGAACCTGTAATGATATATACCTGGCGGAAGGACTATCAATATTGAGTGATCCTTGCCAGCTCGCTGCAGTGCCTTCCTGCAAATAATAAATTTACTGGGATTGATCTCATTGTATAATATATACCGTTACGTTATGATAACTTTTTACGTCAAATACAGTCAATCTATTGTCACTGACAAAGGAGTGGTTAAATCTCACCTAGAGGCCCAGTTATCCCAAGATCCCTCCACAGCCACGTTGTTACCACCATAGTTCCATGTTATCATGACAGGGATTCCTTGCTCAGGAGGTTGATTAACAATACCATGAGACTCATTCTGCCACATTTGATTGAGAAAAGGAGGAGGGCCATTGCCTCTTTGTAATGGAGCTAGAGGAACCTGAAAACACAAAGAAATTCTATACTTAAATACAAATTTGCCACTGGTGAAACTTACATACTTATTTCTTAACCCAAAATAAAAATTTTAACTAGAAAGAAATTGAAATTTTAGTAAGGCGTGTAGAAATAGTGCAATTTACTTCAAGAATAACTTTAGTAACTTGTCACCCATCATTTTCTTTTAGTTTAAATGGTGGAAGGTGAGCCACATATCTGAACACAACTGTAAAAAAAGGAATATAAAACAAAACGTAGACTCCAAAGGATGCGAACAGAGGAGAAGGGTGTGTCAGAGTTCCAGAGAGTGGGTCGCCCAGAAACGCAGCTGAGAGATCTGGGTCGGATGGTTAGTATCAAAGAGAGAAGACACCTTCGGAAGAGGTGAGAGTGAGAAAAAGGGTTTAATGAAACAAAAGGGGGCAAAATATATAATATATAAAGTACCATCAATCACTCTGAATTTTGCTCATTTATATGGTACGATTTATAATATAAAAAAAATGGTTTCAGAGGGTAATCATCTTGCTTCCAGATGCGCAAGTAGTAGTTAAAATAAACAATGATCACATTAATTGAATTGAATCATGCGGAAGTAAATGAAATTAATGTCATAATTTGGGAATAGACAAGGTTGTTTGAAAACACAGAGACAAGTATGAAAAAGAAAATCCTATGAAGGGGGCACTACTACTTTAAGACTAATTTACACAGTGGAATTTACAAAGTCTTTCTTCCACATAGTGACAGGTTCTTTTTTACTGACTATGAAATTATTTTCTGCTGACCACATCCCATAAACCTGAAAATGTGCAGAGTGCAAAAATTTCACAACATTACGCTCTACTAAACATAGGGAGTGAAAATCTGTAGAAAAAACATAATTCTAGACATAGAAAAGAGCACATCTGGGAAAACCTACCCATTATGAAGGTAAAAGATAGATTCATATATCTATGTTAAATTGAATTATACACATTCATTCACCTTAAAAGAACTAGAGGGTAACTGAAGGATGATCTTTTGAAATATTGGAGAAGTGAAAAAATATTTAATTTTGTGTTTTGGAAAAATGTTTCCAACCTAAATACACGCACTCTCCGGTAGCAAGACAAACAAAGCTGCTGCTGCCTCTTTTTTACTAAATTCACGTGAAAGTATCAGCTTAAACAAGTCTGAACACATGCTGAACACAATATAAGCAGGAACATATGGCAACCAAAATTCGCAAATAGGAATGGACAGAAATTCATACAAATTGAACCAAACATCGAGTCTTTTTTAGCTTGGCTGATAGAGATTCCTTCAGAATATAACTTTTTTTCTCCAGGTTCTCCACGAATCAACAACCACAAAAATGGAAACTAAGAACATTGAAAGGTATAAAGGAGACATTAGGCAAATATTACCAAATCCATGGATCCATAGAACATTGGGTAGGAGGGAATTAAAAGCACAAAAAAATATTGATTCTATATTGTATACCATGCTTATAATCTTGTGTAGCACTTTTGAAATGCATCCTCAACTGCTACTAGAATATAATAATCACATAGCATATTGTCTAATTTCCAAAAATCTTTTGAATTACATACTGGTGGATTAATAAAAATATCCAAAATTATTGCATCATCATTGGCAAACATTATCATTGGTCTGTATTGCAATATCTGGCGTGTTGTTTCTCTAATGGAGAAATGTCGAGGAAAGTGAGTAACCAATGACAGGCATCACAAAAATTGACATAAAATAAAACCCATACCATTATAACCATAAAAATAATTCTGTGAACCTTAAAACTTGGTCGCGTTCCAAAAAAATTCACCCAGTAGACTAGAACTATGCATGCACATTTCCAAATGGTGTTATAATCCAGACACAACCATCCACAGTGTGCTTGTTTAACCAGAAAATAACTATGTGGGACAAGTTAAGCTTAGGTGTAGTGTGTAGTAGTTATGGCGTGAGTCCAGTCATGTCTTCGACTATCACAGCACAGAAATGAGATTGTATCATTGCACAGAATCTACAAAATGGTGAGGTAACTCTCCTAAACAAACAAATGTGCATATGTAAAAGTTAGGAAAAGAAAAAACAGTTTACAGTCGTAGTCTCCAAGATCCACCACACTATTCACCGCCTTTCAATATTCAAATGAATTAAACCATAACTAGACAATCTAAAATAGCAATATTCATGTCGGTCATTGTCATGTTTATTGCCTGTTTGGTCAGGTAAGTTGGATATATATTTCTGCACCAAGCAAAAAGCTGTTAATTTCAGCTTCCACTTTATTCTACAATTTGACGTGAATTGTAATTTCCCCTTTGTTTTCCGTATATCCAAACACAGCGTTGTTCAATCTGAACCATGTTCGTGACAATCCATGCACGAAAGAACTAATCCATCAAAAACAAAATTACCAGATCCGTTCAACAATACATTTTGTTTCAACTTCGAACGCACGAAGTTAAACTCGGGTAAATAATCCACGGTTTCGACAAAAATAAAGCTACCTACACTGCCTCCTAATCTCTCGCTCTCTGTCGCTCACGCACCAGACATTAGTTAGCACTAATACTCACCAACCGAACACAGAAAGCAAAATCTACGAATAACCTAGTTGACCGAACAAAACCAAAATTCCACAAAATCAATTCAACAACAACGCATATGCGTGGGGACACTAAAATGCAGAAAAAATCGAAGCAGAAGTGAAGGAGGTTGTTGAGGACAGAACCTGAGGACCGAAAAGGATCGGCGATCTGGAGCGGCGAGGACTCTGCGGCGGGCTATTGGCCATTGAATCGGATGAGAAAGCGCGAACCGGAGGACGAGAATCCGGCGCGTGAGGTACACGTACGGAAGGTTCAGGAACAGAGGGATCGGCCGCGGCGGAAATGGATCCGTCTTCTCTGCCGTTAGCGTTTCCCATGCGATATGCTATTTGCGGAAGCAAACGATGGAAAGGGAAGGGAAAACGAAACGGTGCGTCGTGGCGTCGTCGTTTTGTGCGAGAGCAATGCAATGCAATGCGCGAGAGGTAAAAGACGGAAGGAGGATTGAGATTGCGAGTGATAGGAGAGAGAGAGAGAGAGAGAGAGAGAGAGAGGAAGAAGATGAAGAAGAAGGAGAAGAAAATAGAAACGGTTTCGTTGTTGTTTGTTCTTATCAACTTCTCCTTTCTGAGTCTGATCTGACGCTATGTTCCGTTTGGACTTTGCAGAGCAAGAAATAGAAATTAAGAAAAAGAATAAATGAGAGAAAAATATAACATTTTTTTCACTCTCTCTCCTGGTCGCGTATCTCCCCACGCTCTGCGCCTATCGTCCTACTTCTTATCTTTTCTTAGTTTATACAGTAACCTACACAATGCAAAGCTCAACACTTTTTCATACCTATTGTCTTTATTATGTTATTTTTAAACTTCTTTTATAATCTTGTTTAAATAATAAGAGTCTTATAAAACTTATACTTTAACTTCAATTTTTTTAATTTAAAATAAATTAATTATATAATTGAAATCTTAACTTTAACCTCTAATATAATGTTAAATCTATAATTAATTAAATTATTTCGATACTATATTTTAAAAAAATTATTAATGTTATGACTTTGAAAAAAATAAATAAAAATACCAAAACAAAAACCTTGAAAAGATAAAGGATACTGAGAGATATTTAAAAAGGTAAGGGACAGAAACGTATTTTACTTGCTTTTGTTTATTATAGCCAACTATGATTAACTTTATAACATTATGAATGGTTAGAATCACAAGTGGGGTTTCCTTTAATAAATATTTTCATTGAAGTTCTACAATTTGTCATCAATTATTTAAATAGTTAGCTGACAAAATGTCAGATTTGCATGAAAAAATACATTACAAGGATACACACACTCTCTCTCAGGATTCTTTATATGCAATCACATTCATTTCTCACTTAATATATTTGAAAAATTATAAACATATAATTTTATTAATATTACATTTTTAAAATAAAATCAACAATTTAAAAGTCAATATTATTTACTTAAAAACATGAATAAAAAAAGACAGATGATTCCAAATCCATCAGCATGATTTTTTTTTCATTGAAAGAGACTTTGTGCCAAAATTGACTCCTTACCAAATGTTTTATTAAATACACACATAACCTATGAAATAAATCATCACATTAATTGTACTCACACCAAACACTACATTCAGCTTGATGAAGACACATTTCTAAGACGTTTTACCCTGTGTTGTCTTGTCTCCATTGGAACACAAAATGTGCATGATTAAGAACATCATTGTTTACTTCTTTTTTTTTCATTTTCATCTGTTCCTTTCTTTCATTTCTTAAGTGTATAATTAAAATGAAAATAAAAAATAAAAATAGTGATATTTTTAAAAATTAAACTGAATTCAAAGTGATAACATATTTGTTTACGTTGGAAAGTTCAAAAGAAAACAAAGAACATTAATGACACTTGCAGAGAAGTTGTAGACATAGATTTCAGTATCATATAATAAATACCTTCCACATTTCTGCAGTCACTACACAACCATCTTCAATTGGTGGACAGGTACCACAATTTGGGTCATTAAAAGATTCAATTTTTTCATATTCACCCACAGAATTTGAACCACTATGTTTCATTTGCAGTATTTATTTCATTTATAAATAACATTTTAAATTATTTAAGGAGATTCATGTGAAGTTTCATGTACAGTGATAGGAATAGCAAAAAGAATGTGAAACAGATGTTTTTGGAGAAGGAGGAAGAAAAGGTTAAGCGCAGCCGATGGCGCGTGAAGAGGGGTGTGGTTCGTGGGAACGAGGACACACGTGTAAGGGCCACCCTCGTTTGGATTTGTCCAAAGTGTTATGATTTTCAGGTGACGATGAAGGAATTGAGAAAAGATTCTCTTTTATGAGAAAATGAAAAAATAAAAAATATCATGTTCCCCAAGTACGAAACTACATCCACTAAAATATGACTCATTTGGATAATCTTGTTAAAGAGAAACAGGTATCTTTCTTTTGAGAAAAAAAAAAAAAAATATGACTATTTTACATTCTATTATTGGCTTTCACCTACCATTCAAACCAATCAAAATGCTAATTTTTTCTTTACGAGTAGATAAAAACCACGAGGGATAGGTGAATATTATTTAAAATATAAAAATTAATAAACTTTTATTATTATTTTACATTTTTTTTCTAATATAATAAACTTTGAAAATAATAAATCTTATCTTCAATAATTATAAATAAACATCAAATATTTTTTTTCTTTGTAATCCAAGTCTGGAATGTCAAACAACCATTTTGAAATATTAAAGTTAAATTGTTTAATTTTAATTTCTTCACAATCACAGTAAAATAATCAACTGTATAAATATTTTGTTTCAATATATAATTACAATAATTCATTACTAATATTAGTTTTAATAAAATGTTATTCTCAATTTGTATTTTAAAAAATAGTTCTCAATGTAAATCTAATTATAAAAAAATAAAAGAATGCGGTAATACACACACAAAAAATATACAATATAATACAGACTTAGATAAACAAAAATAAAAAGTTACATAATTTTGTGTGTCCTTGTATTATCTCAGTAAGTTGTTCACGAACATTGTAAAAAAAAAAAAATTATAATGGATGAATATGAATCCGTGGTAAAAAACTAAAGAAATATATTTTTTATTGCTACTAGAATAATTTTTAGTTTTTTTTAAAAGATGGATTGACTTGTATTTTAAATTGTGGTAGAAATTTTTATTAAATTCTAAGTAATTTAACTTTTATGTCAATTTTTTTTTTCAATTGAAAACCATCAATTTATTTATATTTTTTAAACTAAAACACTCATAGAATGTTATAATAATAAAAATTGATTATTTGAAAAATATACATATATTTAATATTAGTTATTAATAGTAAAAATATAAAAATAATACTAAAAATAATTATATTTTTTATGTCATAAGTGAGAATAGTGATAATAGTAATTATATAAGTGTAAAATTATATCACGGTGATAATTGTTTGTAATTATCATAATAAAAATTCTAATGATGTTATAATATTTGGGTTGTCGTGTTTGGTGTGGTAGATGTGATAATAATAATAAAAATGACAAATAAAATTAATGTTACAGAGATGATGATAATAATTATAATATTTTAAATATAAGGAATATGACAATAAATATAATAAGTCTGAAGTGATATAAAAATATTAAAAATAAATTATTACATTTTATTATCTTTTAATTAAATTTATTTTTTTATGACTAATCATACTACATTAATAATAAGGATAAATAATAATAATAATAAATTAATCGGTGTACTTGATTACACTAACATAAATTAATTATAATTGATATTATACTATGATCATCAAACAAACATTTTTGTTATTTTAAAAACAAGTAACCATTTTCATACAATTTACATAAAATTCACAGTAATTGAAATTTAAATTCCAACATAACCTTACACTAAAAAAAGTATATATCTGATTTAATTTATTCTGCAGATTAATAATTTATTTCCTATTTAAAAAAGAAAAAAGGGTAATTATTGTATTTTTTTATCTAAAAATGTAGCCAATTTATTTTTATATAACCATTTTAAACACACACTAGATACAAAGATCGTGAAATTAAATTTCTATTAAAGTTAAGTAAAAGATAAATTATAATCAAAGCTTTCTAGATTATTTTAAAGTTTTTAATACTCGCAACCCTCGTTGAAAAAAAGAAGGAACATACTCTCCTAAGAATAGAAAGAAATGATGATTTTTTATACATTATTTAAAAATAAAAATAATGTATAAAGCCGATTTTTTTTTGTTAGTTCACTCTAAAATTATCGAAAAGGACGACACTTTCCCAAGATGTTTTGCAGCAAATGCCATGAATACGAAGTTGGACAAACAGAAATCCAATCCGGCCCGACCCGGCCCATAAACTCACACTTATACATACATATATATATATATATATATATACATATATATATATATATATACATATATATATATATATTCGGTCAGTGGCAGTGATAGAGATAACTCGCATCCAAGTGAGGGCGCAATCGCATCGCAGCATTCTCTCTTCGGACAAAACACAACAAAAACAAAACAGCCTCAAATCCCAATTTCCCAAACCCTAACCCTACCTCTTCCACCGCCATGGCCAAGAAACGAAAGCTTCGATCCTCAGACCCCGAACCGGCCAAACCCATCGACCCACAGCAACAAGACCAAGAGCAAGTGGAACAACTCGACCAACAGCAACAACAACAACCTAACCCCGAACCAACCCTAGAAGACCCCAACACCATGGCCGTCGACGAGCCAACAGAGGAACAACAGCAACAACAGCAAATTGCAGAAGGCGAAGAAGAGGAAGAGGAAACGGAGGAGCAACAGGAGCAGGAGCCAGAAACCCTAGAAGAGCAAGAGGAGCCGGAAACCCTAGAAGCTGCGAACCACGCCGAAGCCAACGGTGCTGACGAAGAAGGGAACAACGAAGAGGAAGATGAGGATCTCAGTCTTGAAGATGAACCTGTGGAGAAGCTTCTCGAACCCTTCACGAAGGAGCAGCTGCACGCTCTTGTGAAGCAGGCCGTGGAGAGGTTCCCTGAATTCGTCGAGAGCGTCCGCCAGCTCGCCGATGTGGACCCGGCCCACCGGAAAATCTTCGTCCACGGCCTCGGCTGGGACGCCACAGCTGAAACCCTAACCTCGGTGTTCGGGAAGTACGGAGAGATCGAGGACTGCAAGGCTGTCACCGACAAAGTCTCCGGCAAATCGAAGGGTTACGCTTTCATCCTTTTCAAACATAGGGATGATGCTCGCAAGGCGCTGAAAAATCCCCAGAAGCAGATCGGGAACCGCACCACCTCTTGCCAGCTTGCCTCTGCTGGCCCTGTTCCGGCGCCCCCGCCGAACGCGAACCCGGTTTCTGAGTACACGCAGAGAAAGATCTTTGTGAGCAACGTGAGTGCTGAGATTGATCCTCAGAAACTGCTTGAATTCTTCAAGCAGTTTGGGGAGGTTGAGGATGGTCCTCTTGGGCTCGATAAGAACACTGGGAAACCTAAGGGTTTTGCATTGTTTGTTTATAAGTCTGTGGAGAGTGCTAAGAAGGCTTTGGAAGAGCCTCATAAGAACTTTGAGGGTCATACTCTGTACTGTCAGAAGGCTGTTGATGGTCCCAAGGGGAACAAGGGGTATCATCAGTATCACCATCAACAGCATTCTCATCATCACCACCATCACCATCATCAGCCTCATTATCAGAGAAAGGAGAAGAACAAGTATTCATCTGGAGGTGGTGGACCGTCCCATGGCAGTGGTCATTTGATGGCCCCCTCTGCCTCTGCTGTGGGGGGTTTCAACCCGGGAGTGCCGGCTCAGGGGTTGAATCCTGCTCTTGGACAGGCGCTGACTGCTTTGCTTACTAACCAGGGAGCTGGGTTGGGTCTTGGCAATCTGCTTGGAGGGCTTGGTGGTGCCCCAGTTAACCAGGCCGGGCCACCTGCCCCGTATGGGAACCAGCCTGCTATGGGATATGGAAATCAGCCAGCAATGCAACAGGGATACCAGAATCCTCAAATGGGCCAGAGCAGTGGTGTTAGACCCCACCCTGGTGCTGGTGCTCCTTACATGGGTCACTAGGTGAGTGCGTCTTTTTGCTTTTCGATAATGCACTTGTTGTCTAATCTATGACATGATTTATAAGATATCATGCCCAGCTTGAATTCATCGGAAACTAGGAAATGAAGGATTTGGCGGTATTGATAATTAAAATTAGCTAACTTAAATTAAAGATTACGTGAAAGGATAAAGCTGATTCTACCAGGCTTTTTCTTTCACTCATGGACGAGAACTAGTGGAATTCCAATTGTGTGGTTGTATATTGAACTTGAAGAATTTATGCTCTCCAAAAATTTGTTTTGCAATTACATGGGTGTTAATATATACATTGATTATTTCTGACATGTATTTTGGATTGTTTAATTAAGATTGTGATGCTTCAACATGATGAATGCTCTGTCTTAGCTGATTTATTTTATTGGGCTGCATAGTTACTCTGTATTGAACAGTTCTGAATTGAATGGCATTGGATAATTATGTTTTATGTTGTGATAAAAAAGGAACAAGAAAACTTCCATTATAATTATTTATTCTATTATTCTGAGCTCCATAAGCATAATCATTCTTGATCTATTCATCTTCTTTGAGTTAACAGTCTGAGGTTTGCATATAACTCTTCTATTGTCTGGTTTACCCATTTTTGTCTTTTATTGCATAAATAATTACCTGGATTTAGACATTTTTTAGCTTGAATCAATGATAACTCTTGAAAAATCAATATTGCAGTCCAAGAGGTATGACCTTTTATTGTTTCATATTTGTATGTGTTTCCTGTAGAGATATTGGTTTTTGAAATTAGTTTTTTTACTCATTGTATTCAATGTGCAGATACCCTCATAAGATGCATCAATCATTTAGTTTTGGACTCCGCTGATTCTTCTGAAGTACCAGGCACTATTCAAATGCATCTTTTAATTTGTAATTTTAGTTACTATTTGATTACTAAAGAATCGGATTCTGAAACCTGTATTTTTTTTTACTTCTTATCTTAGTAGATTTCCCCCTGACATGTTTTTCAAATCTTATTATACCTCAAATTCCTTTATGGAGTATTGAGGAACGGTGAATTTTGGGGCAGAGAAAACTTTGTTATAATAATTTTTAAGTGTGTTGTGGACCTTTTTGTTGTGTCGCTTGAACTTCCATTTGTTTTTAATTTACCTTTGTGAAGCATAACTGGCACGGATTCAAGTAACATGTTTTAATTGTGTCTGTGGCATTCAGCCATGATTTGTGAGGACACTGTCTTCTTTTTCACAAGTATAAAGTTCTTACCCTTAAATGGAAATATACTATGGGGATTTGATGGTACTTTTGTTTTCATTTTTAATGGTTATATTATTATGATTGAGATTACTTGCATATTAATTATTGTATCATTTGAATATCATTTATTTCTTCTGGATCCCAAACTATTTTTTTCTTCCATTGGATGTTTAAAGTATGATGAGAATAACCATATACAAGGCCTTGATTATTTCAACGTTTGTCTTTTAAATATCCTTCCAACTCGATTTGGCCCCTCTGCAGTTTTCTATATTCAAAGATCTAGTTTGTGAAAAACGTGATTCTTCTCCTTCCTCAATGAAAGATTGAACAGTTGTTGAAATAAATAGTTGTCCTTCAGCCTTCCGCATCTTTTTAGTCCGTTTCTTCTGGAAATAAGCCCTCCGATTTTTGGGTGTACAGTTTTTTTTTTTCACATGTAATTTTTGGAGATATTTTTTGTTTAATTTTGTTTGGCAACTGATCTACACTTGTCATACCATACAATATTTGCTTGAGGGTTGGCTTGCTGACATATAGGTCCTTGCCACCAAACAAATGCTTGAATCTGTCTCTAACTTGTGCCATCTGCATCCACTAATGGAGCTTGGATCCTTCCATTCACTTCCATGGGAAGAAATGGCCACACTTGGTGGGTAGGTTGGCTCTCACTATACAAGTGTACCTTGGTTTGGAGTGAATGTCAGAGAGAAGATCAGATGGGTGCGATGGTGTTATCATCTTTGCAGCTATCCAGGGGTATGATTTTTTCTTTTGCTATAGATTGCCTAGGAAAGTTAAGTTCGGAAGCTTGCCTTCTTGTCACTTACGGAAACTTTAAATTGATTTCTGAAGATATTCGTCTAATATTTTCAATTTGGGCTCTGGATTTCGCTTGGGATTTCAAATTATTGTTTTTTACGCACAACCTTCTTGAAGAAAGACCCACTTTGATAATTTTTGTCGGCCTTTGTTGAAATCGTATCTTGTAAAGTTGCCAAAGAAAGCTATTTTATAAAATTTAACACCAAGATAAGTGGCTTTGCCAAAATGTATTCGGAAAATTGTTTTAGGAGTTTTTTTTAGTGCAAAGCTAAAGCGTTTATGAAAGCAATACCAAATTGGGAAATGGCTACATCAAAGTAAATATTATTTTCTTGTTTTTATTTGCGGGATAATGAAAATGCATAATTTTTAAGTAAAGGACTAATTTTTTGGATGCTGCTTAACTTTCTGGATGTTATAATGAAGAGCATACTGATTTTGATCACCCAGCTTGAGAAGGCAGTTGGCACAAGCGTGAACTGCACATCTGACTCTCAAACAACAGGAGGTATTATAATTGGCATGAGGATATGGTAATCAAGAAGATTAGTGATAATATTTGAAAAAAATACTGATTTTTTTCTTGTAACATTTGTTAGAGCTCGATAAATTTGGGGTGATTGATCTTGGATGAGGTGTAACATTTGATTTGGAAATTTTAGGTTTCTTAAACACTTCTAATCTCTATCTTTAGAAGAAAAAGAAATTTAGGCTTTTAAGATTACTTAGAAAACGCGATTTTGTAGCTATTTGGTCGATACAGATAACCAATTATCCTATACTTATATGGATTTGTGCTCTAACATGTCATATAACTTGTCACAGACTTTTGAAGAGTAACGGGTTTACAACAAATGTTGGGATTATTGGGTGGGATAGTTTGAAAAATGCTTTACTGGGAACCATTTGTGCTGGTATAATGGTCACTGTCAAGTGCATTATTAGCACCCTTCTAACAAATCTTAAACAGGGGAATTGTCGTACTAGTTTTTGCGTTAGATCTGAAAATTAGGTATTACGGATTAATCTCGTGATAAAGTTAACTGTGTTTAGGGGTTATTTCTTCTACTCAGTTTTTCTAACTATTTGCACCATCTTTTAAAAATTTCATATTGTTACCCATTTGTGAGTAAAATAAGTTGACTTGTCAAATTGTTGATAATTAGAGAATAATTACTACCTTAAAACAATATTTTGTGCTAACATTTACCACCACTGTAAACTTTAAAAATTTTCCTTTTGAATAGTTATCAGTTTTAATTCTTAAGAAAATTATGATATTTATATATTAAAAACATTGAAATCTGTTTATTTTATTAAAATGATGTTTAAAAATTGAGATAATTGAATCCACAGACATGATTATTTCCCTTTGCCTGTAGGTAAGATGCTATGCTTTCATTCTAGTATGTTTATTTTTGCATGTGGTGGTTGCAATACTCCAAACATGTTTCTCTTTTTTATGTTCTATCATCTACCCTTCTAGCGCCTATGTCAACTGCAAACTTCCCGAAACACTGATATTTTCAATTTAATTTTTTAAATTTAATTATTCAAATGAATTCTTATGTTAAAATATTATATTAAAATAACATTAATAATAATAATAATACAAATGAAGAATAGATCCTTTTTATTTGTTTTTGAAATATATATATAATTTTTTTAATGAGAAAATATAAAACAAATATAATACTTTCATCTTTGTACGTGGTTTATCACCATACTTATAAAATAAATGAAAATACTATAGGAACATGAAACCTAAACTTATCAACCCTTTGGAATTATGTCAAATTTAAATGCTGTATATGATATTCTATATTTATATTGGAGGTAGCAACTTATAATTATAAATAAGTAGTTAAGAATGTGAATGTTAATGATGTTATTTAAAGTGTAGGATAAACCATGTTTGTGTATAATAACTTCGACCGACGGTCCTTAACGTGTTAATTATTACTTGTGAGATCAATAATCTTTCTTAATTTCATGATTGTCAACCAAAATAATTATAACATCATTTAGGATAAATTCTATGTAAAGAAAAAAAAAAACTTCACTTACTCTGTCAATACTTATTTAAACTCAAACAATCATTATTTTTCTCGGGCTTGTATTGATTGGCAATGGACACCTCACTTGTTTAACAAATACACTAACAACTCTATTCTTTATTATTATTATTATTATTATTATTATTATTATTATTAAATCAATTTTAACAGAGAGTGATAAAATTTACAACTATTAGTGAAAAAAATTAAGTGATTTAAATAATTTAAACGAAAATACAAACAACTTAGTGGAATAGGTTCAAGAGCAACTTAAAAATAATTGGGTGTATTTGACGTGTTTGTGAACTTTAGTTTTAACAAAAACAATTCCCGAAAACATTTTAAAATAAAAAGAGTGAGAGAATAACACGAGCTAAAGAATAAAATCACACATTTTCACAACAACTTAGATATGTTTTTACTTTATTAAAAACTTTAAAACATAATTAACACTCTTTTAATCAACACAACATATTTTTATAACTTCCTGTATTTAATTTCTACGAATAACCAAATAACAGAACAACAGTTTAAAGATTGAGAAACAGATAAGTCCTAGGTTTAGATCATAACTAGTTGAGATTTCAAATTAACACACACAAAAAAAATATCAACTTTATTATCGATATTCTCTTTTTGGTATTCAAGTTTTATCTGATATAAGTTGTTTTATACGAAACTTCGAGGTTGATATCTTTAATTTATTTGATAGAAGTTAAATTTGTAGGTTTTTGTTATTCGAAAAAAAATTGTTTCTCATCTTTTTTAAAATAAAATTTTCACCATTGTTTTTTTTTTCCTGATAATATTACTGAGTAATTAATTAATGATTTAAAAAAAATAACATATCATTTCTTAATTTATAGAAAGCTTATATGAATATTTTCATCAATATTTGATATTAACTAAACAGTTATAATATATCCTTCGGAAACCATTTGCATGAATTATTACGTATGGTTTTTATTTTATTTTTTCAATTTCGTTTATCTGTAGATTACTGCAAATCTATATTGTAAATATATAATGCATGGTTGATATTAAATCATATATATATATATATATATATATATATATATATATATATTATTCAAAATCTTATATCGATTGCATGATGGTTTGAATTTAAAGAAATAAGATGAATAAGTAAGAATAAAAATATTTAGATCTTAAAAAAATTGCTTGCATGGGATTTAAATATCAATAAATACTTACAAGAAAAATGTTTTGTTATCTTTAATTATGTTTTTATTTTATTTCAAGAACAAATTTTTCGATCTATAATAATTGAATATATATTAAAAAATTACAATAAGTGACACACCCTGTTCAATCAACTAGATCAAAACGCAATCTTATTATATTTGATAAAAAAAAAAACTAAACTTTCAGAATGAGTGTTTAAACTTAAAGATAGATGAAGAAAATATTTTTTTAAATAAAAAAAACAGTTGTAACTTTTAAAATATTTTAAAATCTATCACCAAAAATCACTCCTAACGACCTTATTGTGGAATTTTTTTTTTTTTTAAATTAAGAGCTTTCGTAGAATGCAAAATAAATTTCCAAAAGCGCGTTTGTTCCCCTATGCATTAAAATAAAATTTTCACAGTGAAAAAGTACAAAAATAAAAAAGTTTCTGAAAACTAGAAAATAAAAACATAAAATCACATTATTTTAAACACGTTTTTTGCATTCACCAAAATTAGTTAACGGTTTCTGTTTTGATATTATTTTTTTATCATCTTAAATAACATTATCAATATGTTGTGAGATAAAAAATAAAATAAAAATAAGTTAGTACTATTATCATATTAATGATAGGGATTTGTTTAAAAATTGAGAGGAGCACTTATCTGGTGATTGATAAGGGCACTCCCCATATATACCCAACACACTCTTAAACCTTCTCTCTCACTAGCCTTTTCATCGGTTACCCTCGCAACTTTGTTGGCGTCTGTTAACTTTGTGCTCCTGTCTCCAAACACACTCACAATCACAACACATATCACGAACCCATTTCATCACTTCACTGTCCAAAACCCTAATCTTTCACTGTTCTTCTGCTGTCACTGTCCCAACTCTGCTTTTCATTGAAACTTCACTAAAGGAACCCTTTTTACCACACCCACATGAAATTATTGTCCGTTCAGCTCCGAGTTCTTTTGCTCAATATCACTGATTCATTTGGCAAGTAAAGGTTTAATTTTTTGTGTGGTATATTTACGTTTTTGGTGAATCTCTTAGCACCCATTAGGTTGATAGTTTAGAGAGCTGTGTGTTTTGCCAAGCGGGGCTTAGAGGGGGAAATCTAGGGAGTTTGGTGGATTGGTTAGCGAAAAAAGCATTTATGGTGACTGCTGAGACTGAGATTGGTGAGGATCAGAAAGGGGTTGTTGCTCCCAAGTCTCCTTGGAAGACTCCTGCTGTTGATGGGAAAGGAGGTGATGTGTCTGTGATGATGGGCACTGAGTCTTGGCCAGCTCTCTCTGATGCACAAAGACCACCCAAGAATGTTGAGACAGCTGCTGCTTCTGCTGCTAGTGCTGGTGAGATTGCTCCTAGACATCCTTCTACGCAGGTTAGTATGCTTTTTGTATAGTAGCATTGTGATTGTGATATGGAAAATGTGATGCTTAAATTCTTTGAAATGTAGCATGTTATTGAATTTGTATCTATATTTTTTGTTGTCTTGTATTGTGATAGAATTTACATGATTTAGTTATTGTGACATGGAAAATGTAATTCATAGATTCATAAAAATGTAATGTAATATTTTTCTTGAGTTTGTATATATATTTTTGTTAGCTTGTTTTGTAGCAAAACTTATTAGTTTAGATAGACATTTGTGTCTTATAATGATTTTCATGACTTACCTAAATATTGCAAGCATGACAACTGTTGTTATTGATTAACATTGGATGGTAAATAAATAAAAAGTAAAAGTCATTGTGTTCCTATAGTTTAACATATATCATAGATGCTTATTGTTTTTCTCCATTAATGCTTTGGTTGTCATGATAGAAATACAAGTTTTATGCTTAATACGACAAAATTCTTGTTTTTCAGAATGTAATATATATTTTTTGCTTGTGTGGACGTTGACCTTTTTGTTTAATAGAAGGTGAATGGTTCCGGAAATGCTAACCCAGCACATAGGCTGCCATCATCCCGTCATCCAAAGCCGGGTGCTAAGCGGAACTCAAGTGGTGCCCCTCCCTTTCCTGGTCCAATGCCCTATCTTCAACCAGTTCCTCCGTGTTTTTATCCTGTACCGCCTCAGCACATTGCTGTTCCTGGTTATGCTATTCCACCTGGTCCAGGACCTTTTCCGGGTGTAGAAAGCCCTTTGGGGAAGCCTGTATCTCAGCTGCCAGGTCAAGCTTTTCCTCCATCTGCTCATGCTGTTGATGCCAAAAGTGTTCAGCCGCCGGTGCAAGGGGACCCAAATGCCTACGCTGCTAATTTTTCCAGTGGAAGACCGAATATCCAAGAACAAGGTGACCATCTAAATCATGTCTGGCATCATCAGAGGCCTCTTCCTTCCAGAGGAAACATTCCTATGCAACATGGTTTGGGGCCAAGGCCATTTATACGACCTCCATTTTATGGTCCTCCTCCAGGGTACATGGTTGGTCCAAGCTTCCCAGGTAAAAATTAAATACACAGTCCTCTATTTATGCACATGGTTGTATTTGTTACACAGGCACGCACATAATTCCTATTGTGCCGAGGCACTTGTGGATTTCTCAACTTGAATGGTATTTGAGGATTTTCTCAGATTTTCTTTATTTTGTTTTTAATTTCTCCATTAATTAGTTTTGTAATCCAATTTTAATGTTCTGGATAGGACCTGCACCATTTTGGTGTTTTGGCATGCCACCTCCTGGGTCCATTAGAGGTCCTCATCCGCGGCAGTATTTTCCATATCATGTCAACCCCCCACATCAGCCACCACCTCCAGACACTGTATCTTTAAGGACTAGTATTGTTAAACAGATAGACTATTATTTTAGGTAAGTACTTTAATTGTTGAGCATGACATCTATATTATATTTGGTGTTAATGTGTTGACCACATTTAAATGTACTGCTTAAAGACCTAATATGATAAATTATATAGTGGCTGTTCTTTTTGTTCCACATCTGCTATCTGAATTACGAGAAAGATGTTTCTGACTTTTGATTGAAGACATTGTTATGTTACTTTGTATGTCCAGCTTGTATCTTTTATGTTAGGACAATTTCATAAATTTAACATTTAGATGGGATTGTTTGTGAATTATTGACCGAGATGACAAAGTGGACTGATTTGTAGTGGTTGGACTTGGTACAACTAGGTAATGAACATTAGAAATTTCTGAGGAAATCCTGTAATAATATGTTGCTTCATTTTTTCTGTGCAAATAGATGAAAGTAATTCATATGATAGGCATAATTCTTTGAACAAACTGCTGATTCCAGAGCCTTCTTTTGGCAGTGATGAAAATCTGCAGCATGACCATTACCTTATTTCCTTGATGGATGACCAAGGATGGGTTCCCATATCCACTGTTGCTGATTTTAAAAGGGTATGTCCAAAGCATATTTTGCCTCCCAAATCTATTATCTATTATAATTTACAGACGCACAATTTCTGCTGGTTAGTTCCATGTTATTTCCTGTTTCTCTCTTGCCTTATATGATGTCAATTATATTTAGGTCAAGAGGATGAGCACAGACATACCTTTTATCCTTGATGCACTTCAAAGCTCTAATACTGTGGAAGTTCAGGTTATTTTGCCATTCTGGTTTACCTTTTTTTTTTTTTTTTTTTTAATTATTATTATTATGTTACTCTATTTTTTCCCCTTTGTCTCTGATATCAATCTTGGGAGTTGGTAGTTTCAAATGTTTATGTCATGAGTATTACATAGATTTTTTGTTTTAAAGTGTATTTTAGAAGTAATGAGATGCAGTTTCATTTTTTTGGGAAGTTTAAAATTCTACATCTTTTTGTTTTGTTAATGCAATTTCTTGGTTCCTGATTTTAGTGTTTTGTTTTTATTCACAGACCTTATATCAGCTCAAGTCCTTTTTGCCTTTTAAATTTGGTCAAATGATTATTTATATGCTATGATGGTTTTCAAAAATGATATTGTCATAGCCATCTATTAAATTCAGATTATTGTGTTTTGTTTTTAACATCAAATCAATTAGGGTTTCAGATTATTACTTCTCTATTTTATTATTTATCTTTTTATTGCCACTTATGAAGTGCATGAAAGTTTGAAGATACTACCTTTACTAGATTTTTTCCTTCACTTTCATAGTTTCCCTCATTTTTAACTTGCTGTATTTATAGGGTGACAAAATAAGGAAATGCAATAATTGGTCAAAATGGATTCGAGTTTCCTCTGGAAATTCAGAATCATCTACAGCTCAGGTTGAACAGAGCCAATTTGAAGATGGTGCTGTCAATTCTCTTATCAATAGTGATGCTATTGGTGATAAGACAAAAGAGACTTCTGAAGCAAATCCTAAAGTTGATGTTCATAATTCAATTTTGGCAGGACATAATCAGCCAAATGAAGATACGTTACAAGTTTCACATTTGAACCAAGAAAATAATACTGTGGGCCATCATTCCAATGGTAAATCACTTGTGGTAACTGGTGAAAGTGTCAAATTGTGCGTTTTTAACACAACTAATAGTATATGTGCCAAACAAGAAACTGAGCCCAAAATATTTGACAATAATGAGACTGGAAACGTTGATGCATTGAATGATATGGATGGCCGAGACCTTTCAAATGATTTTGGCAATACTTTTATGCTCGATGAAGAGATAGAGCTTGAGCAGAAGATGCTAAAGAAGACTGAACTTTCGTCTAGTGGAAGGTACTTCAATAGTTTTTTCCTATCTTGTTGATATCTAGTGGAATATGCAACAATTGTTTTCATAGAATCTGACATTTGAATTGCTTGTTTTCCTTTGTATATTTCCATGATTTTTTTAAAGTTAATTAAAGAATATTCTCTTTATTTCTTTGTGATGTGAAATTCAAAGGTTAATCCCTTTTCCCCACTAAACATTGTGATTATCTTCTGTTTTAGATCTTAAAATACTTCTCTTTATTTATCTTATCCGAAGTGGAATTGTATTAGGTGATTTTTGTGGTCATTGTCATTTTGCATATGCTCACTTTTCTGTTTAAATAATCTTGCATTTTTTTGCCTATAAGGATTGATGATGAAGATGATGAGATGGCTGTCATTGAACAGGATGTTCAGAGACTAGTAATTGTCACCCAGGTATTGCCATAGATAATTTAAATAGAAATCCGTTCATACGTTTATTCTTTCCAATAAAGTGGATCATTCAAATTAGGTTTCAACTTTACATTATCAGATTACCAAAGCTGATGAAAATTAAAAAAAAATTTGAGGATCTTTTGATTTGATTGATATTCAGAGGCTTGAACTATATAACTATAATGCATTGTATACTGTTTAATTATAAGTTATAACTAAGGATGGCGGAATGGGCCAGCCCGCCCTGTCTTTGTCCCGCCAAAAAATGCGACAGGTTGGGTTGGTCCGCCATTGTCAGGATATATATAAAGATTTTTATATATATTAAAAAAAATATCTTTAATTATATGAATAATTTTTAAGTTTTTATTTATTAATTAATATTTTTATTAGATAAATTGAAAAAATTATTATATTTATGTGTCAAAATAATTAATTATAATATATTTAGATATCTCAATAATATAACAAAAAAAATATATATAATATTTTTAATTATAATCATTTTTATTTTTATTTTAATATATAAATATTCTTTTAAAGTTAGTTAGCTTGCCCTTGGCCTGTCAAATTGGGTTGGCTGGGCAGGGTGTACCAAAGTGGGCTGAAATCACTAACCTGTCCCGTCACTGACAGACCGACCCACCAGATCTAGTCCGTTTTGTCATCCCTAGTTATTATGAAATGTCTTTTGTTTTAAATGAAAACTGATTTAACCATATTATGTTCACATGTTAATTACAATGAATTGATTGTGTAATGATTATAAAATTTTAATGTACAGAATGGTGATCCTAAACAAGGATCTAGAGGTGATGGTAAAGAATCAAAATCCATTTCTACTGAGCTTGCTTCTGCAATAAATGATGGACTCTACTTCTATGAGCAGGTAGAGTCACCATTCTTGTACTTCACCTGTCCTTTATTTTTCAGATTATCATCATCTTTAACAAATTTTTGTTGCCTTACCTAATTACAACAGGAGCTGAAACATAGGCGATTTAATCGCAGTAGAAAGAACAACTCTGATAGTAGAGATCGGAATATCAAATCTCCAAGCCATAATTTGGGTGTATCAAATATGAAGGCGGTTGAGAATATTGTTGGAAATGGTGTTGATGACTCTGGAAGCAATACTTCTCGAAGGAAACAGAAAGTCTTTCACAAGCAACCATCTTCCCTTAAGCAGCGTTTTTTCTCAAGTAATTATAGAAATCATGGAACTAGTCGTAATTCTAATGGAATAATATCTGAAAGCCCGCCTAGTAATTCAGTTGGATTTTTCTTTGCTTCTACGCCTCCTGAAAATCATGGGTCAGTTCAAAATTATTGTTCCCAGTGCTAATGACTCTGATATTGTTTTTCTTACCTTTTTTTTTCACTTTTGTCCTTTACTGAGATGGTTGTTTCAGTGAGCATGAGACGACAAATGAAAAGCTATTTCAGTAATTATCTTTATTTTGCAGTTTCAAGCCTTCCAAATTGAGTAGTTCACCGCATGGGGGCCTATCTGGTAGTCCACATGGGGGGTTTTCTGGTAGTCCACATGGGGGGTTCTCTGGTAGTCCACATGGGGGGTTCTGTGGTAGTCCACATGGGGGGTTTTCTGGTAGTCCACCTGTGGGTTCCATGCCAAAGTCTTTTCCACCATTTCAGCATCCAAGTCACCAACTCTTGGAAGAAAACGGTTTCAAACAACAGAAGTAAGTGATAATACTTATTACAGTTTGAGTGCACGAACAGTAGTGGGATATAACCATAGAGTAGGTATTGCATTTTCGCAATTCCTTATGTGATTTTTCTTCCTTTCAGGTACTTGAAATATCATAAACGGTGCTTGAATGATAGAAAGAAACTTGGAATTGGTTGCAGTGAGGTGAACTTCATTTCTTAGTTTGTACGAAAAATAATATTTTTAAAAATTGAATGCTGAACCAAATTAAATCTGGATGTGTCCACATTGCTAGTACAAAGATTGAACGCATTCTCTCTACTAATGCTTCATTGTGTTCCCATTACTTCTATTATGCAGTGTCTGCCTAATGTTTGATCTATTTCCCAGCTTTTAATTGCATGAGTTATCTTCTAATTACTTTATGTATGGATGTGTGGTGGAGTGAAAGTTGTGTACAGTTACTACTTTTGGCTTTTTTATATTAATTTGCAGTACTCAACTCATTCTTTTTTTTTTTTTTTTTATTACTTAAATTAAACGACATCATTAGCAAAATCTGTCATATCAAAATGAGATGGGTGCATTTCTGTGTTCTTCATTAGTCTAGTTTGTGCATTATGCATTCACATTATTTCATGCATTTTGGTTTCCATATTATTTGCAAATTTAGTATGTATACTTTCTCAAATTACATTTTTATTTTTAATCATGCACTTATTCTGGTAGAATTTTCTTTCTCTTCTTTTTGTGTGTTTATGCAGGAAATGAATACATTATACAGGTTCTGGTCCTATTTTCTTCGGGACATGTTTGTGCCTTCTATGTATAATGAATTTAAGAAATTAGCTAAGGAAGATGCCGCTTCTAATTATAATTATGGTATAGAGTGCCTTTTCAGATTCTACAGGTATCAATTTCAAATTTTACTTTTCTCATGTGTTGATGATAGAACCATCATTTAGATTCTGGTCCATTTTGTTTGGTATAGTATTGGCTAATTTCAAGCCTTCTGAATTTTCATCTACTGTTTAGTTGAAGACGTTGATTAAACATTGCTTTATGGTTGTCTATTATTTTCATTATGAGGCATTCATGCTCAGTTCTTCTGATCATTGAATAATTCTTGTTCAGTTATGGTTTGGAGAAGGAATTTAGAGATGATCTATACAAGGATTTTGAGCAACTCACTCTGGATTTCTACCATAAGGGCAACCTGTATGGCATGGAGAAATATTGGTATAACCAATTTACGCTTTCTTATTATTTTATTTTTACTGCATGTTTTCTTCTCTCTGTAGTTTCATTCAATCATGTTCCCAATTCATTCAAGATTGATCATATTGAAAGAAGTAAATAATTTTGATTGGTGGTGCTATTATATATTAAAAAATTTGTCCATTGGTCTATGAAATTGGATTGGTTTATACAACGACTTTAGTTATATTTGATAATTTCATGTTCTATCTGATTGCATTGTTAAATTGAAATCTACATTTTAGTTTCCCAGGACATATGCTACCCTGTTTTTTAATAGTACTGCACTTCTATAATTTGGAGAGAGGTGCCACAATCCAAAAAATGATTGTCTCCTCACATCTGTTAGATTATGTTATATAAAAGAAACATAAGTGTAAAATCCTATTGCTTTTGCAATTTCCTTCACACTATCATCATTCTCTAGTCTAGGACTTATGATTTGTTCATTTATATGGCATTGGCAGGGCATTTCACCACTACCGGAAGATCCGTGACCACAAAGACCCTTTGAATAAACACCCTGAGCTGGAGAAGTTGCTCCGGGAAGAGTATCGTAGTTTAGAGGATTTCCGAGCCAGAGAAAAGAATGTGGTAAAAGATGATTTCAATTAACTTCTGTGATATATGCCTGAATGGTAAATACAAAAGGCATAGAGTTTTGATGGCATCCCCAATTTTGATGAAAACTCAACAAAACCACATATGAGTTGTTGTGGAGTAACCGGCCTGCTTTTTGGTTTGAATGGAAATAGGAAGATTGTTTGTTTGATCTCTATATTTGGTGAGAATTGATCATGCCCCATCAAGGAATTGCTGATTGCTAAGTCTTTTCAGGTTTTCTCTGATGATCATTCTATATGGTTTACACCACTGCATCCTTTCTTTGGTGGATCTTGCAGACTCTGGGAGACACATTTTCTTGTCTCCAAATGTTGTACATAAGATGATAGACTAGAAGTTCTGACATTACATCATAAGAAAAGAAGGTTCTTGTTTTTGTTTTTGTTTTTGGTTGGGGGTGAAAAGGGGGAAAGGGGTGTACTTATAACTTGCCAAACTTGAACAATAAAGAGTGAGAATCTTTTTACTGTAACATACATGGCTTCCTCATTTTGTTTATATAGCAATTCTTCTCTCACCAATTTGGTATGATTTGAAAAGGGTGACGTTTTTTATACTAACTAAAACGGAACATGTTTTTGGAGTTATTTTTGGAAACCTTTGCCTATGAAGAAAGATAAAGTAAATGACAATAATAAGAGGATATTGTACCAATTTATTAATAGATTTTCAAAATTGTAAAATTATCTTGGAAAATTCCAAATGATAAATTTTTTTCCACAAATTTATCATTTATCGCTTCAAGCAGAATTGTTCCCCTGAAATAAGATGACTTTTATTTTTTTTTTGACAAAAATGAATCAGATGAAAGATGGTCCCTTTTAAACTAGAAAGATCAAGTTGATTCCGACAATGAGAATAGTTCTCACTCACAATTTCAACGCAGGAGAGTGAGTTAATGTTTGGTTCAGTTTTTCTTTTGTTTTAAAGTTTTCTTTATGTTGAAGTTAAATATAAAAGTATAAATTGTTTGTGAAATTTATATTTTTTTTAATTACAAACCTTTTGAAATTAAAAAGAAAGGTTACTTGATAATTTTTAAAAGCTTTGATTTTTTTTTCAAGAGTAGTATCTTGTCCAATTAAAAATCATAATAACTAAAATAAAAACACCAGTAAAATTAATTTAAATCATTAAAATGATAATAAATATACATAATAATGTCAAAATCGTAATTTTATGTTTTTTTTAATATCAAAATTTATATTAGTTGATTTTCAAATTGAAAATACTATTAAAAAATAAATAATAATTATAAATAAAATTATTTTGCTTATTTTATATTTTTGTTTAATAATACTTTTAGATTAAGAAGATAACACATTTACTATAATCAGTCATTTAAAAACAAGAAAACTAATTAGTAAAGGAATTTTTAGATCATATTCAAGAAGATACTGAAAAACATATATAAAAAAATGTAACAAAGTAACAAAAATAACATAAAATATCTGTTGAGATTCATCACTTTATTATTCGTTTTAATTTTTAGTCAATTTTTAATTCTTAATTATAACAATATTACATCAAAGATTTTCCTTATTTATTATACATTTTAATATAATTTTACATTACTGAATTATGTTTAAATAAATAACTTATTATCATCTAAATATGTTATTGAACATTAATATAGTCTATTTTGAATTTTTTTTAATTCATACTTAAATTTATTTAATTTCATAATAAAATATTTGTCACTTATGTTCGAATTAAATTTATATTTTTAAATAAAATGTTTGAAATTTATATATTTTAATAGGTTTTATATATTCTTGTTCCTATTGAAATAATTTTTTAATTAAATTAATTTATATAATAATTTTTTTATAAATATGTAATTCTTTGAGCAGAACAATTGGTTTTAAATAAAAATATTAAAAAAAATTCCACTTAAATTTTAACTAAAAAGGATTTTTAAAACTAAAAGAAAGAGATTATAAAAAAAACTTACGATTTAATTTTAAGGTTCCTTATTTTGAGTATCGACTTTAAAGTAAATTTTAAAAAATGGTAAAAAAAAATAGCCTTAATATATATTTATTTATATTTGAATTCAAATTATTTTAAAAAAATAGTGTTTGTATAATATACTTAAATCATACATCCACATCCATAATAAAAAGAGAGGTTTTTATAACTACTATGTTCAACTTTATTGATTGACTGATATGTAATAATGAAAATCCTGTTATTAGCAAACACAGCTAAATGAGAGAGTGATTAAGTTGGAGGGGCCAACACTTTAACTTCACAGAGGTATCTCCTTTCTAACTTTGTTTTTCTCTTAGGCTAAGTGGATAGGTGGAATGGTTTATAATGGAGTGGAGTAGCAAGAGTTTTAAGAATACAATAACCTAGATCTAGATCAATTAATATATAACACTCAAACTTTCAAATTTAAATACATTCCCAAAAGGGGTTTAGGACAATTTTTTCTTTGATTATCCTTTATGATTTCATCCGTATCTATCTAACATTTGTCATACTATTATTATATCAATATTTTTAACCTAATCATATTTTGTTACTTGTTTTATAAATTTTTAGTTCTTACCCTCAAGAGTTTCTTAATTTTTTTATAAATTACAATTGCAAATTCAACACAATAACTAGTATGTCTTTGTGACTTGTATGCTATAAGAAAATGCAGATTTTCTGAGAATTGCTTCCATCTGTTAAATTTTAAGAAAACTTTTTTTTTCATTTTTATTTTCTTTTAAACAAATCAATAAGTACTGTTTCTAAAAAATTACAAACAACAATTTATCCATTAGTTTTGTATAAATAACTGCTGCAAATCAAGAATGTGTGTTTTCATCAGCAACAACAGAAAAACAAAGAGCAGAAATTTTTGTTGTGTGTACTGTATTTCTGTGTTCAGGGTAGGGGATCACAATTTAGAACCCACAACCAATGACTACTAGTCTCCATTAAAACACAAAAACAACCAGTTTACTTGTATGTCTAACGTTCCCTTAGAAAAGATATTCATGACTAACAGTTTCGAACAGTGAATATCTTTTACGGCTCCTCGTGTTGCTCTTGTTCTATCCTCAAGGTTGGTAACAAAGCCACAGCCTCACCATCAATGACAAGAAGTTCACCATTCTTGAAGCACCTTGTCTTAAATTTTGCACTGAATAACATCGATAAACACTCATTTAGAAAAAAAAGTACGCCTTGTTTCAAAAAGAATCCATAAAATTACCAACAGGACTAAACTTACAGATATCGATTTTTATTTTCTCTAAGATTAGTGGCTTGCACTTCACCAGTAATCTGATCTCCAATATAGACCGGGAACTTAAAATTCAAGTTTTGAGATACATACACAGCTCCAGGCTGCAAATATCCATGATATTAGAAAAGTGATGGGGCAGAGGAGTTTCAGAAAGTTATCACAAGGAATCATGATTGAATGAATAACTTATTATTATTGTCCCGATTCACATCATTTGTCAAGAACTTCAAGTCTTTTATTCAAGTATCAATGTCCACTATAATAACTAATTTAATTTCTTGAGACGAGAGTGTTAAATACCAATCCATAGGAAGCAATAATTTAACGAGGGGGATGGATTTAAGCTTACAAAATGTGTTGAGATGATATGAGGAAAGAGAGAAGCCACAAGCATCCCATGTACCAATGGACCTTCAAATCCAACATCTTTGGCAGCAGCAGACTCACTGTGCAAAGGATTGGAATCAAAACTCACCTTTGAGTACTGGAGAACATCTTCCTCGGTAAAAGCCCTTGCTTTTCTCAAGACAACCCCAGGCTTAAGTACTTCTTGGGCAGTTGCACATGTAAAGCCCCTTAGGCTGAGACACTGAAGTTTGCTACAATGTAAACTCCTGATGAGCATTCTTGCAAGGATTCAATACAACAAAAATAAATCTCTGATGTCCTCCGCTAACTGTAAATCAAGTAAAGAGCACCTTAGTATTCCCACAATCGAAGACCAACTAGTCTTCGTTTAAAACAAGAAAAGAACAGTTCATCAACTAATGATAATAAATCAAGACACCCATTTTCATTTGTTTGACGTGGCAACTGCAGTTTTAAAAGAGAGCTAAAATGATTGTAAAGTGCAGTGCATATATCATACTCCAAAATGAAAAAACAGAATAAATAAGCAAAATTTCTTTTGGATTATCGTTTGAAACATTCTAACAAACGGCTAAGCTGCATGCCAATAGTTGAAAGACATACCACAACAATTTAATGTAATTTGAAACGAATTCATTTCATAAAAGAATAAATGCTAAACAAGAGACTGCAAACCGCGATATCATACACAACCCCATTCTATTAATATCGAACCTTTTCAGAATCTTCGTAAGTTTGGGATTTTTTATGCTCCCCTCGTAATTTATTATGTAGTATAATAAGCCGTTTTACTAGGTTGTATAAATTGTATTTTAGTGTATTTATTTCGTGTTCAATTCAAATGTATGTTATCTTTAGAACATAACCCAGAACTGCTGCAGAAAAAAAGGTAAAGGACAAAGTTAGTTAACTTTCATAGTTGAAACACAAGGCAATAGTGAGATATGATACAATTAGTACCTGAGTAAAGTGGCTATAATGGAAATGAATCTGGCGAGAGAAACTAGACTCACAGAATGTCATAAAACCACTGAAGTTTAATTTTAGAAAAATGTATATTTAATAACATTTGACTGTATCTCAGAAAAAAAAAAAAGTTGTCTTGGAAAAAATATATTTATAAAATAAAAAATTGTGACTATGTTGATAGAAGGATAGTAAAATTTGAATAGAGATGAAAATAAATCATATAAACGTCTGATACATCTTCATTAAATTTAAATCAATTAAGAAATTTTTGAGAATAAAAGTGTTAGGCCCTTGTTCATTCAAATAATATTAGGTTAGACTAAAAAAATGAAAACTAAATATATCTTTCCTAATTACATTGTTACGACAACCAAATACTAACTACGAAGTAATTAAGACAAAAGCAGTAAGTAATACCATGTTCCATCATCGAGATTCGGGACCCTCATTTCATTTCATTTTTATCTTCCAGTGATAATGAACTAACAAAAAACAAACATAACAAAAAGTTGTCATCATTTTTCAGGATTAAAATTACAACTACTACTCCGGGTACAGTTAAAAATTTTGAAATCCACAGGATACCTTTCACTTCTTGTTTCTCGTTGATTAAATATCTATCAACTATATCGCATATTCAGGTAGCAATCATGATACTCCACAATGTTCCCACTCTTCATAGCATACCCAACGAAATCAAGATGTACATACTGTTGGAACCTACGTCTTAGGAAACATGCACAATCAAAACTTATACCACATTTTTTTGTCATTATTAATGTGATAATATTTTAAAATTTTTTAAAAGACCAACATACACTCAATCAATTATATTTCACATTCCTCTAAATCAACTTCATTCATCGAAAAAGTAATTAAAAGAATAGAAAAATGTCACGCTATGCAAAAAGGCTATTTCATATTTTTTAGGAATGACACGCTATGGAATGCTCGTGTCTCTTTCTTTCTACCTTCATGTGGGACTGGGAGGAACCTGCACATCACATGTATTAGCCTATCTTTGGTTTTCAACACTCCAAACTCAAGAAAGTAAATCCAGTTTTATTTTATATTTGTTTACCTCAAAAGCAAACTTTTTTTTAATGTTAACACTTGAGTTATTTTGCAAATTCAGCTCGCAAACTATTTATTTCAAATCCTCATTTACGCCATTGCATATTTATCCAAACATATTTGCAAGGATTGCCGTATTCGATTTTCAGAAGTTTGGAGGTTGGTATAGCTGTAGAAAACAGGTAAAAATTCTACAGATACAGAAAAAAACACAAGATTCACAGTTCGAAAACATTTTAATAGTAGGTCAGAAACATGCTTTTATATGAACAGTAATACCCATTTAACCTTTGATCCCATGAACCAAGGATATAATCCCATAAACCACATTTAACAAAGTGTGTACACATACATGATAGTAAAACATAAACACTAACGACCTTCAAAATAGGGAAGTACAAGCTGACAACCTTCAAAATAGTAAAAAGATTAAACACATGTAAATGCTAGAACAAAATGCTTTTACATGTGCAATAATCTTTGAACAAGTACTGTGCGCCCTTAGTTCAAGTCTAGTTCAACTGTATTCCCGATTAACTACTTTCCTATATAGTTATTAAACACGGTATGATAGTTCATCACTATTGGTTAAACTGCATAGAACCATTTGCCTCAGCAAAAGAACATAGAACTTGAGACATTATCATTCAATCTAGGCAATTGAGGGACGGGGTGAGCTCCGGCACCACCGTGACTTGAAGCTGTCTCCGATCTTTCCTCAAATTTCATAAACTGCCCCATCTGAGTGGCAGCCAAGTGAGCATAACAGATTGGAGCAACTGCATATATAAGTTTATTAAACAATTAGACTACTTATGAACAGGAAAAATAAATAACACAATGGAAAATTTCCTGTGTCAACTTACCAACAGATATGGCCGTGGTGCTCCTCTGATACCTGTTGACAATTAAAAAAAATCAAATAAGAAAATTCCAACCAAAACGACTCTAGCACATGAAATAAATAACGTTCTATCGAACCAATATTAATATAACTTACACGTATGATAAGGAATGCACAAGCTCCTGCAGATCATCGGGTGAAAAACCAATCTCATCTAATAGAACATGATAGTGTGTAGGTCTGCTAGTACCCTGATAGTAATTTTTCAAAACAATTCAAAAAAATGTGTAAAAGAACATATATCCACAATAAATCAAGGAAATAAGCCAGAATTATGCGACTTAACGATATAAAGTAAAAATCCGCAAATTGTAAACTAAAGCCACGTTAAAATAGTAACAAAAAATTGCGAATACTCACTATCATTCCAGCATGTGCACACATGTAAAAATCGTAGTTCCGAGGATGGCAAATTTTGTTATCAATTACAGTTCCTGCAACAAGAAAAAGTTCAAGTAACAAAACAAAGAACGATTACCGAATCTTGCAAAACTTCCAAAAAGTCACGTACCAGGAGGAACATTTTCAGGAGATCCGGGTTGAAAGAATTTAGTATGATGGTTCTTTTGAGCAACAATGACCAAAAATTTGGGATTCCACTTTTCATCTAAAAACTTGCAAGCCTAATTTTAAAAAGTAAACATTAACCACAAAATACTAAACAAATCCATACTCAAAATTGGTTTGATCAGCTCATGTAATATGCACCTCAATTATTTGATCAAGTTCGATGTTTAAAACTTGATTGAACTGGGACTCACTAACACCATCCCTAAATTCAGGAAAAAAAGTCAGTGCTACTAGAACAAAATCCAAGCCGATAGAGTACAATGACAAAATACAAAAACAAAAATGTTGCCGCTTTAGGAAGTTGTAAAAAATCGATTAACAGATATATATCAACAAAAGCTTATGTTCTACAGCTAACACATGCATGGGTGAACAGAAATAACAAAATACAGAAATTTTTAGATGCACTGATTGAATTTTAAAAGCTTGACTTTGTTCAAGTGACAATTTTGCATTTAATTCAACACTTAAACCAGATATCCACATAGTATTAAATAATTTAATATCAACCATTATCATGATTTCATATGTATTATTTTAAAATTAATCATTAAATTAATAAAATCCGGAAATAACTTAAGATTACACTATATTTACCTACAATAAAAACAATTAATAAAATATCACAATAACAAAAATGAGTTACAAACCTTTACAAATAAATAGCATTCAGTATAAAATTTATAAAAATGTTAACCTGAAGATGATTATATTTTCGGGCTTTCTATTCCCAGAACTTCTATAGAAATCAAGCAACAGTTCCCTGAAAATATAAAATAAAACAAAGAATGTAAATTCCCATATAAATCAGACCATGATAAAAAGGTAACAAATATTGTTTTATAATGTTATAAAACTGGCATTCACTTCAAATTTGAAAGTCTATTAAAAGAAATAATGAGATAATAAAAAAATATATTTATATCTGCCATGATTATAAACACAATATATCTATTGACATCAATTTATATACCAAATTATACAAAATAGATGTCATGAAGAGATAAACTCAAGTATTCCACACAAACTTATATTTACCTAATTATGCCATCATCCACCTCTGCAGATACTTTCTTAAACAAATTGTCAATCATTTCAACCTTCGGAGACTGGGTTCGAACACATGCCCTGTACTTTGATATTAGGGGCCACTCTCGAGAGCTAACCACCTAAAGGTAGGAATAGCCACTAACTCATTCAATATTAAATAATTTTTTGTTTAAAACAAATACCCTTCATAAAAGACACAGAAGACAACTAATCAGTTACCGCTGCAATTGAAGGGATATCTGTTTGTCCTGGGGAGCCATGAGACACATCCATGCCAATAATGATGGTAGGAGCTCTGGAAACAACAGGGATGGAAGGAGCATGCTCAACACTTAACATTGAATTTAGGCCACCAAGCTACAAAATAGATAAAAATCAATGATAAGACATAAAGAATACCTGATGACAAACAGGAAATACAACAATCAAACAAATATTACCAAATACAAGTAACAAGTCAATGAAATACATGAATAAAACAAATATCATACCTTAGCGTTAATCTTCAACAAAACATTAGTTAAATATTGATCATTGACCCTTTGTGGAGCTATACACTGCGTGACAACACCGAAATCGGCTAGATTCCTCTTCTTCCAAGGACCTAACCAAGTTCAATTAATTTTCATCAATAATGGACTTGAACACTTTGATGGGACAAGAAGTAAATTACAGCGAAAATAAATCAAATAACAAACCATAAAGATCAGAATTTTTCCTGTCAGGAAGAAGACAGAGAAGAAATTGAGGAGCGCCAGGAAGTTTAGACTGCACAAACTCAAGCATTTTCTCCACTCTAACCAGAGGTGGAGATCGCTTATTGTGAAAATCTTCTTCAAATACATCAAAAGGCGGTTCAATAGCCTGTCAAAAACAAATAGATAAATAAATAAATAAATATAGTCATCAAGTTTATTATGCTTCTAAGTCAACTTGTAATTTTGAAACTTACAATTCCTTTCATTTGAGCGCACTTGAGGAGATCCCTCACAAGTCCTCGTACATCACATCGTGCAGAAAAGTTAACCACAGCCCATTTCTCAATTTTTGTTGGTTTAATTAATTTCTGGAGAAAGAATTCGATCAATGAGAAATCATTATTTAAGAACATAGAAATTTGGATGAGAAGTTGAACTAAAACCTTCTGATTGAAGTTCCACCTCCCATTTCTTGGATTGAAATCCTCCCCATTTCCAAACTTCAACTGAACATGAAAATTTAATTATCAGTTTTGAATTCAATTGTACAGACATTGATAATTAGTAAATCAACAAAACCCACAACAAAATACGAAGCTACAACTCAAGTAAAGCTTACTATTTATCTTATAGACAAAGCCAATTAAAAATTGCTAATGATAGAATATGAGAATTGATATCCCTAATATCCAAAAAAATATAAAATAATATCAACTCCTAAAAAAGAAATTCGTCATTTAAATTTACAGAATAACTCAAGGCAGGGGGGAAAGCCAATTAACTGCAAAGACATTCATTGAGGGCAAACAAGCAAAGCAGTATTTAAATAATGGACTGCGGAAACAATATTTTTAAAAATCATTTTAGCAACAGGATTAGATGATGTTTTCCTTTTTCAAATGTCAATATAGAAGGTAACCTACTGGATTACAAATGACACGATACTTGATAAAAATGAACAAGAAATAGCATAATTATAAAATCATTAAAAAATTTACCCTTGGAGCTTGTAAAACTCGACCTTCAACTTCAGTAAAGCCAGAGTTTATAGAAATACCACAATTTTGAAGCATAGGTTCAGAACCATAATTGCTACTACTCAAAGCCTGTTATCATAGAAGTAATGTCCAGTCAATCAGAATATATTTATAATAAAATATAATAATTTCTAAAAACTTTACGGAGAGACTAACATCTTTCAAAACCCTCATCCTATCCAGCGGCTTCTGCCTGGACTTCTCCACCAATGATGACCTTTGTAGTGTGGATAGTGCTTTAGTGTAACGTTGAAGGGATACCAAAGAGCAAAGCTAAACACAAAATAAATGGGATAAAAAAGATGTTAATCAGTGATAATCAATTTGATATTGGGGCATAAACAGAAATAAATCACCAAAATACACCTCAAGTGGAATATATGTTGGCCGCTTGGGCTTTCCAACATTAATGCATGGGAGATCCCCTGAGTAGCGAAGATCTATCCTTCGATGATTAACAAAATAATCAAACACAGTCACCTCCTCAGTAGCATCATCACCCTTTTTCTTCAATGTAAACCTGATACACCCATTTCATTAAATCCTAACTTACAATATAACTCTACCAAGAGCAATCACAAAAACGTAGAAAATTAATGATCAATGACAAAAAAGGATAAAGAAATACATTTGGTCTTTGCAAGGAAGGTCACTGAGCCCAGTTATTTTGTATTCTTGATTGGATGGACTTGCTTTAATCCTTAAGTTTTTCAGTGTCCTCTTGGCCTGTTGAACATATTAAACAAAAATGATATCATTGTAATTAAAATCAATGAAACAATATAATAAAAATAGTTAGAGAATTTGCTTACCTTTACCCAGTCGAGAGAAAATGGATCTTTTACATTCTGATTGGAAATCAGGAAGTCCACCACAGGTCCAGGAGTAACTATCATTGTGGTAGAGACATCTGATTTTTTTTTTAAAATGAGTTAAAATCAAATTATGAAGAATGAAAATCCCTGCTGCAGTAATTACCACAAGGCAAAAAGTCAACAACAGATTTTACCTATGTTAAGGGACAAGCCACTCTGTGTGGTTCTAAAACTAGAATGAAATCCCCTGCAGCCAAGCACACCTCCTCCTACATCAGTAAAATTCTTCGGATCATTATGGAAGAATGACTGGCGCACAAGCAAACAGCCTCTGCAGATAGACATTACTGTTAATAAAATGTAACAGGCACAGAAAAGAAAGTTGCACCAAAGAACTATCAAAATCAATAATAATTTGAAAGGAAGAACAAGAATTTAGTATAAATCACCCACTGTTTGGCAGCATGCTGCCTCAGAATAATATCAAGAACTCTTATTGCTTCTTGATAATTATCAGAATCCTGCCCACGGAGAGCATTGACAATGGCCTGCAAAGGAATCTTTGAAGCAAAACTGATCTCAACTTTAAACGTTTTGGCTCTATTTTGGCGCCTCATCCTCTTCTTGTCACTCTCACTTGATTCTTCAATTCCATCAGGACTGACATTCCCATTATTTCTATACATACATGATTGCAAAAAAAAGGTTATACAGCCAAAACAATTGCATGTAAGCCAATATTCAAAATTATAAAACATAACAACTGAACCTGCTAGTAGAAACAACATCCTCCAGAACAACAGTAAACTCAAGATGGTTGCGAGCAAGAGATCCAAGTGTAAAAAGAGTTTTTTCCCCATCATAAGCAAAATCCTTCCCGTTCAATTCAGAATCATATGTCTCGTGCACCTTCTCTAGCACCTTCCTCCCTACACCCTTGCCCTCTACAGGACGTCCATCTTCATAAGAAAGAGATACCTGCGCAAAAATAAACTCTAAATACATTATTGCAAGAACACAGATACTGTAAATTAATAACACAGGGAAAACAAAAGCACATACACTATACTGAAAAAAGTGACCATCAGTGTTTCCAACATTCACTCTGAAGTGATTTGTTTGAAGTAGCAACTTCGTCCCTTTAGAAGCAAGGCCACGCCTGGCTATTGGGAGCCTCAAAACCTTTTTCTTTTCAGGCTCTACTTTGACAGGCACAACATCTGATGGGATAACAGGTGGTGGGGGAGGCAAGGAATCCTCATTCTCCCTTCCATTTAGCCCAGAAGAAGACATATCCTGGATAGATCATATATTAAATGTCCAAATCCATTGCAAAAAACATTGACAAATATCAACTATATAGAACAAGTGATTAAATAACTTGTATTATCCAGGTAACCATTTAAAAAAAAATACACAAAGGTTCAAAAACTAACTAATAAACAGATATTATCGGCATGCAACAATAATAACTCACAAAACAGTACAGTATAAATGTTTACATACAACAACAAACAAATAACAACTATACTTTAAATAGAAAGCAAATAAATATAGTTTAAGAGGGGAGAAACAGATAATCTACTATATTAAATACTATTCATCAATTAAAAAAAGGGACAAAATAAAAGTAAGCGACCAAATGCATCACATATAATACATAAACACACTCAGAGAAGTTTAAAAATAGCTGAATCTTCTGAGATTATATATATTAACTCTAATCAAGCAGAAAAAACTGTAGTATAGCATATTTTGTGCAACAAAAAAGGAACAACTGACATGCAAATTCAGCAGCAAAACAAACATCAATTTAAGAGAGAAAAACAGACAATCTAGAGTAATATTTATTACTAAAACAAAATGCGCTGAAACAAATCATTAATAAAACCCACTCAAATAAGCACAAGCAATGCTAAATGCATTTTATCAAAACTACTCAAGTAAGCACGTGCAATGCTAACAAAGGAATACACAAAAGTGCAGTAAGCGACATTCACAGAGAATTAAAAGTTAAAAACCAATATATTTAAAAAAAAATACAAAATAAAAACAAGAGATTCTCAGGCAGCAAAATCAGACTCCCTGAAGCAAATATCAGAGCACAAATATCCAAAAATAAGTTATTACTAGCCACATATTAGATCAAAAGCAGTTTTAACTCTCTTTTTTTAAATTAAAAAAACAAAATAGAAAAAGGTTACGGCGAACTCACGACCATGAAATGGCAAAGTGCAGACTCGACACTTACAATCTAAAAATAAATGACTATAGAAAAAAAAAAAGTATAGTAAACAAAATCTGAAGATTAAATAAATGCCTAAGAAGCAAAATCGGTCAAAAAGTCAACCAATGCATTTTTTCTTCAAAACAAACAGAAAAGGCAACTATCAATTTCGAACACATGCAGAATAAAACAACACAAAAACGCAAAAAAAAAAAAAAAAGATGCAAACAGTACAGAACCATTTGCACGAAACAAAACCCTAGAAAAATCATAGACACAAAAAAAAAATATACAATGAACAGTGAGAACGAAATAAGAAGACGAAAAACATAAAATGTAGCATGTGCGCATGACATGGAACAACAAACGCGTAGAGAAAGCATAAAACAGCAAGCAAATTTAGTGAGGTAAAGAGTTTGCCCTTCACTCACCCGAAATCAGTGACAGAAGCACACAGCAAGCACAAACCCTAAGGCACAAAACCAGAGAGAAAAACAAACAATCTTCTATCACTCCCTTTCTCACTCTTTTATAGCAGTTGCAGCCAGAGGGAATGATCAACACCTCTTCTTTTCCTCTGAGCTAAGAGGGAAAATAAATTACTCACTCTGCTGTGTTGCTTGGTTACACACTTCATACTCTCGTTCACTCTCCCACGTTAGATTATATGATTTGCTGAGGTGGAAGGCTGAGATCTAGGCACACGTTAAGAAAGATGTTTTTGATTCGGTTAAAAAAGGTGGAGCCCGTGGTTACGTGTTAGCATTCGAGGACCCCACTTTTTATTTATAAATAATAATTTATTACTTTTAAAATAATAAATGTAAACAATGCTCCATTCGATAAATATATATATATATAGTCTGAATAGTGTCATTTGGGTGCGGATAATGAGAATAAAATAGAACCTGAAGAGTCATTATTGTGAAAAAAAAAAATGATTATATATATATATTCCTTCGTTCGATTCTTTGTTCATGAATCAGGGCTTGTTTACATAGAAAAACAAGTACAAATCTTTAAAGATTCTAAACGGCACAGAACATTTTTTTAATAAAAAAAGGTAAAATCTTTAAAAAATTATAATATAACTATATAAGGTGTCCACTCTTTATAAATAAATTTATAAATAAAATATTTTTAAAAAATTACTCAATTAAATTTTTTATTAATTAATTTATTTAAATAAATATTTTTATTCAAGTGAACTTCTATTAATAAATAGACATTTTTATTCCAATAGACTTCTATTAATAAATAGACATTTTTATTGAAGTAGACTTCTATTAATTTCTACTGATTTATTTTTAGTTTTTTTTTCTCTTTCTTCATAATTTTATTTTTATTTTTACTCTTTTCTCATTTCTTATCTCACATTACATCCCTTATTTTTCTCTATCCTCTAATTAAAATTATTATATTAAAATTTAGGTAATTTTAAAAATTAAAAAATATTAAATATTTATGATTTAAATATATATTTTATTTAATATTTTAATCTAATTATAATTATGATAATTGGTATAATTTTTAAAAATATTTATAAAAAATTTGTTTTCAAATAAATATATAATTTTTTCTTAATAATTATAACATGATAATTTGTAATATTTTAAATTTATAACATAATTTTTTAAATATAATATATTAAATTATAATATTTTTAAAAATGAATCTTAAAAAAAATATTTCAAAAAAATTACTCAAATAAAATCTATATTAATTTATTTACTCAAATACAGGTGCGTTACTTTTTATATGTAGTTTTTCTTTTTGTTTTTTTTTTCTTTACGTTTACTTCTCATTTTTATATTTTATTTTATGTTTTTTATTTTTCTCTCTATTTTCCCATTTATTCTCCTAGTTAAACTACTATATTAAAATTTAATAACAAAAAATACAATAAATAATTATTTATGAAGATGTGAATAATTAATTTAAAAATATTTTATCATAATAAATAATTATACTCTTAACTAAAAAAATATCAAATATTTATAATTTTATTTAATATTTTAATTAGTTATGATAACTAGAGATTTTTAAAATAATTTTTTTTAATAACTATAACATAATAATAATATTTTTAATGTCTCAAATTTATCTTATAATTTTTTATATATAATATATTAAATTATAATATTATCATTTAAATATTTTTATTTTTCAATAATAATAAATTATTCACATCATCAAATTTTAATATACTGTTTTTAATTAAAAAAAATAAGATGGAATGAGAGAATAACAAAAGAGGAAAAAAAATAATAAATAATTAAAAAAGAGAAAATTAAGGAAAATAAATAAATAAAGTAAGAAAAATAACTTTATTATGTCAAATGAATTTATTTTCCCTTCTTAAAGTTTATATATGAATAATAAATTAATCTAATTGGGTAAATAATTAAGAAAATATTATTTAAGTAATTATTATTTTAAAATATATTATTTATGATATTAATTCGTATTTTTATAATTTAAATATTTTTTATAAATAATAAAAAACTTATTTTATCAAATTTTAATTTAATATTTTTTCAAATATAAAATGAGTGAGAAAATAAAAAATTGGATGATAAGAGATAATAATAGAAAAATAAATAAGAAAATAAAGATAAATAACTATATTATATGAGAAGAATCTAATTTTTATTATTGAAATTTATATATGATTAATAAATAAGTCCAATTGAAAAAAAAATTATAAAATATAGATAATTTAATTTTTAAATATATTATTTATAAAATTGAATAGTTTTTTTAATCCTAATAAAAAATTAAAATCAACTTAAAAAAATATTTTAATCCTATTCGTTAATAATACTAACTTATTTAAATTTATTCATTATAAAATAATGATAAATATTTTTGTGTGAATTTAATTGGAAATGTTTATTAAAATTTTCAACTTTGGTAAAAAAATAATAAATTACTGTGCGTAAGGGTTGGTTGAGTTGTAAGAGCTGATTGAGTTGATTTATATTGTTATATTTTTAGAACATATATATATATATATATATATATATATATATATATATATATTTTTAATTCAGCTTATAATTTTAAAAATAAATTATTATATGAGTAAATAATTATATAATGGTTATATTTATAAACTTGTTTTAAAAAGAACAGATATAAAATATAAATATTTTATTAAATTATTATATATTATAAATAAAAAACAGTTATATATCAATACATTAAAAACAAATGGACAACATCTAAAAAATAATCAAATATCATTTGATAATTATTATATATTATAGATTATAAATATAATTGGATTATCAGATTTTTTTTTAGTAAGGTTAACTTTTTTTAATACTAATAACATTTCAAAATAAAATAAAAGATAGTGTCTCTTATTAAAATATAAAAAATTTAATTTGATATATTAAAGAAAGGAGAAATATATAAAATATAAAACATTAATGGATTATTGACTTCTAATTTTATTATATATTTATAAATAATGAATAGAATGATTGATTGTACATAGTTTATTATATCTAAACATAAAATAGTTAATTTTGTTAAATAAATATATTTACTGAAATAAATACATTTTTAAATTTCAATATAATAATATATATAATATAGTATATTAATAATGAGTAAAATAAATATTTGTTTTTTCATACTTATTATATTGTTAATTTATACCATATAATAAGATTAAGCATACTTTCAAATATTTTAAAAACAATGCATACCTAATATTATTAAGTTATTCATAAATCAATTATTCACTAATTATGATATAATCATATAATTAATTAAAAAAAAGTTAAGAATTGATGAATCTATTTAAAATTTGGCTAACTTTATATTGTTTTTTAGTACACAACTTTCTACTGCCTAATGTGATTTTTGTATTTTTATTTAATAAGTGGAGACAAAAAAATTTAAATTATCAGTTTTTTTAGTTTAATTATAATTAAAGTTATATATATATATATATATATATATATATATATATATATATATATTGATTAGTTGTAAAAACGGTTTGCTCAGTTTTGCTTGTGATTTATGAGTTAAGTAAAAAAAAAAGTTAAACCAATATTTATATTTTTAAATTATCATAATTTTTAGTTTATTTTGTTTTTATGTTAAGTTAATTTAGTTTTTGTTGAATAAAATAAAATATTTAATTTTAAGAGTTTGTTGAAATAAAAAGACAATGAGAATATAATCGGGGGTTAGTTGAAATATTGATATTAATGATATTTTTGGTAGTTTTTATTTTATGTTGGGAATATTTTTGGACTGTGTACAAATACACAGTTGCATTCATCATTTGATGCATAATAAATAATCAATAATATATAGTTTTGTAATTTTTGAGAATTTTTTTTTTTATGAAATTTGAATAAAGAGTTAGGATTTAGGGAAGAGAATCAGAGTTTTTCATATAAGAACTAAGGTTCTTCAGAAAAGTGAGAGTTAGGGTTTGAGTGTCAAAAGAGAGATGGACGGTTTGAGAAATGTTATTGGTGCTAAAGAGGTCTATTACGAAAATTGAAGTGTCTAAATGAAGGTTCTCCTAAAAACCCAAAATCGTTAGGAATAGTAGAGGAATGTTTTGTAGAACTTAAGAACACAGAAGTTTTGATGCTCAAGAACTTCAAACTGTAGAAGACGTTGATTTCTAGAAGATAACAAATGTTAAATTTGTAAAAGAAGCGTGAGACGAATTAGAGAAGGAGCACAAGAAAGATAATTGTGTTAGGATCGAGCGCTTACCACTAGGCTAAAAGTTATAGCTATTAGTCAGAGCGCAACTCTTTTTACTTAAGAGTAAAAGCCCAAGCGTCACGATTCGATTGTGACTCGGCCCATCCGGCCTCCGCCACAGGACAATTGATGTTACCTGCAACAATCTCCCCCTCAGCAATTGTCCTACGAGGAATCCCACTTGGAGTGTGACTTGACCCACCTAGCCTGCGCCACGGGACAATTGTGCAACCCGCAACAATCTCCCCTTTAACAATTGTCCACCAAGAATCGAACTCGTGACCTTGACTCTGATATCAATTGTTAGGATTGAACGCTTACCACTAGGCTATAAGTTATAGCTATTAATCAGAGCGCAACTCTTTTTACTTAAGAGTAACAGCCCAAGCCTCACGATTCGATTGTGGCTCGGCCCACCCCGCCTCCGCCATAGGACAATTGATGCTACCTGCAACAAACTGAGTCATTTGAGTTCGGCGTTAGACACTACGAAACAAGATAA